GCAATTTGAACAGGATGGAAAGTTGTAGTGATTTGCTTGACATTTGTCACACTGACGACCTTCTACATTGGCACCGCATGGGCATTGTCCATTGGTGACGTTGCAAGAAGGATCCATACTCCCTAGAGTATTGCAGCCACATTGAGTGCAGCCCGTGCCAGAAGCAAATCCATAGTATAAACTTGTACATTGATCACATTGTCGTCCGGTTACACCAGGTAAGCAAACACAAGCACCAGTGAGAGCATCACATTGTGTACCTTGTTCAGTTCCCACAGCATCACAGTTGCATGGTCTACATGTTGGAAAGGAGTAATAATGCACTGCGCAACGATCACATTCTACTTCAGAGGTGATGGTGTAGTATCCACTCACACATTGGTCACATTGTCTGCCCATTACATTCGGTAAACACACGCATTGCCCACTTTTCGTATTACATTGAGCACCTTGTTGTGTGCCAATGGAATTACAGTTGCAATTTGAACAGGATGGAAAGTTGTAGTGATTCGCTTGACATTTGTCACACTGACGACCTTCTACATTGATGCCGCATGAGCATTGTCCACTGGTTACATTGCAAGACGTATTAACACTCCCGAGAGTGTTGCAAGCACACGCATTGCAGGAGGGAAAGCCATAGAGCCTGTCCTGACATTGATCGCAATCCCTGCCGAGAATATTCGCCCGGCAAAGACAGTGACCAGTGGTATGGTTGCAGTTGTTGTTCACACTGCCATCCTGGTGACAATGGCATGTCGTGCAGCCAGCCTGGCCCACGGCGGTTCCGTAGAATCCATCGCCGCAGCGGTCACAGTGCTCTCCTGCTGTGTTGTGCCTACACGTGGTGCATACACCTGTGTCCCTGTTGCATGAATTAGAGTGATTGTTACACCGGCAGGCAACACATTGGTGATGCAACGCGGCCGCGCCTGGTCCTGGCGTCGATGTGTAACCAGCCGAGCAGTGTTCACAGTTCAGGCCAGTGTACTCCGCTGGGCACGAGCAGTTTGACGAGCTTGCCGTGACGCCAGGCCCGACCATGGCAGTCGTGCAGATGGCCGAGCGGCCAGAGCAATTGCATTGCCGGCAACCCGCATCTTGGTTGTCCGCGCTTAAATAGTGAGTCCCAGATACGCACTCACTACACACCAATCCCGTGGTCAGTGTCTTGCAGGGACATTGCCCTGACAGCTTGTCGCATGTACCATTCCTAGATCCAAGAACATTGCAAGCACACTCTGCAGGAACATTGAAAAACCAAAATGATATTTTGGTCTCTGTGCAATCTATTTTACTGCACTAAGCCCAGGGGCGTCACACATGGCACGACCAGTCCGACCATTGTAGTACCACTTTTCGTCCAGAATGGCCCGCCCAGAGTGCCTGTAGAACGCGCAAACGTGCCATGTTGGCCAAAAACTCCTATTTTCCCCAGTGGACCCCCCCCCCCCCGCGGCCCGGTCGTACCACTCCCCACTGCCCTGTGACGCCGATGAAGCCTACATACAAGTCGTAACTAAGCTGGCTGTTGAAGTACACATCGCATACATCACACACTGCCGAAGTACACAATCATCACACACTGTTGAAGTACACATCACACACTGCCAAAGTACACATCACACACTGTTGAAGTACACATCACACACTGTTGAAGTACACATCACACACTGTTGAAGTACACATCACACACTGTTGAAGTACACATCACACACTGTTGAAGTACACATCACACACTGTTGAAGTACACATCACACACTGTTGAAGTACATATCACACACTGTTGAAGTACACATCACACACTGTTGAAGTACACATCACATGACTTGTATGATTGTGTTGTACATGCAGTACACATTAGAGAAGTACCCATGACTGATAAACATGAGCATGGAATCTGTAGCCCCCATCGATTGCTCTGACAACTTGTGACAAGCCTCCCGCGAATCAAGTGCATTGAAATTGATAGTGCAGCCATAAGCTGCTACAAACATGTGCAAAGATTACACAGCACTATCCTCCGATATGCCAGAAATGCGTGAAACATGTGCTTCCTCATAGCCAGAAATCCACCGCTATTGGCACATATTTTTAAAGCTCAAGCCTATCAACTGGTACTGCCAATTTCATCCTTGGAATTCAAATGAAAATGCGGAACGCAGGTGATTGTGTCGTACTGCTTAGCCTCCGAACTGCAGCACTTGCGCCAAAATACCAGTTGCATAATGCTTGTGCTGAACGTATGCACTGGCCGTGTTCTCATGTATGGTGAGATAATGGAATGTGATAACTTGTTAGTCGTGCGTGGCAAGTAATGTGCATGCCTTGTAATTGGGGCAATCCAATTGGATTGCTTGCTAAGTGGGAGTACACTACCCCTGCGATGGACATTGCTCTAAAATGCTAGCTGTGCACATTTCTTGCACGTAACTAGTGTTTTTCGAGCTTAACCCACAGTAATGCTGCAATAATTTCCTGTTTGGTAGAATTTTTCCTAGGATCACACTAAGACAATGTGCGAACAACAGTTAGCATTGACATAAGCAGTTCTGATGGCAGAATGTAAACATTACCTTTGCACTCTATGAACGAGCCATTCCACAGCCCAGTGTGGAGGCAGGTCAGGAGTGTGTGCCCTGCTCCATACTGTTTGTAGCCATCATTGCACCGCACCTGGATGGCACTGCCAAACGAGGTGGTATTCGACAAGAGGGTTCCGTTTCCCACCTCCGGCACTGAACAATGCACGATATTGCACACTGGTAGCACTGCACTCCACGTTCCCGTTGACAAGCATTTCAGTTGGGAATTGCCTTGCAAAGTATACCCCTGAGAACAGTACATCTTCCAAATGCTGCCGTATTTTGTTTCATTTGATGATGATTTCAGGTGCGGAGCCAATGGCAGTGCAGGACAGTTGATGATCTGACAAGTTGGAACAGGTTGCGACCATTTGCCGCTTTCAAGGCAATGTGTTCTCTTAGCGCCAATCAGTGAGTGGCCAATATTACAGAAATAGGTAACTGTCTGTCCGTAATGCCAATCGGAGCCTATGCTGGTAATGCCACCATTGGCAGGGACGACAGGCGCTCCACATGATATAACTGTACAGGAAAGAAGAACATGGTGGGTATGCATGATGAGAACATGGTGGGTATGCATGATGAGAACATGGCGGGTATGCATGATGAGAACATGGTGGGTATGCATGATGAGAACATGGCGGGTATGCATGATGAGAACATGGCGGGTATGCATGATGAGAACATGGTGGGTATGCATGATGAGAACATGGCGGGTATGCATGATGAGAACATGGCGGGTATGCATGATGAGAACATGGCGGGTATGCATGATGAGAACATGGTGGGTATGCATGATGAGAACATGGCGGGTATGCATGATGAGAGATAATAATTATAGAGTAAGATGTGGGTGGTGGCCGGGTGGCCGGGTGTCAGTCGGAGTAACCACTTGTTGTACTCATGGCCGTAGCCCAAACCCAAACACACAACATTGCATTTATGTCATGGATGCCTGGTATCGAATCGCTCAAGCATAATCAGTTGGTACTACACACTCCAACAAGTTCAGAACATACAGTGCAACCTCGTTAAGAAGAACACTGATAAGACAAACTTTCGCTTTAGAAGAACTAGTATTTGCAACTCTCTTTGATAAATCACTATGTACCCACTGGTTAGAAAAATATGGATAAGGGGAACTCCTGTTATTGCGAACAGATCCCATCAATCCCCTGGTGTTCCTCAGTGTTCCTCGGTGTCCCTCGGTGTTCCTCGGTGTTCCTCGGTGTTCCTCGGTGTTCCTTGGTGTTCCTTGGTGTTCCTCGGTGCTCCTCGGTGCTCCTCGGTGTTCCTCGGTGTTCCTCGGTGTTCCTCGGTGTTCCTCGGTGTTCCTCGGTGTTCCTCGGTGCTCCTCGGTGTTCCTCGGTGCTCCTCGGTGTTCCTCGGTGTTCCTCGGTGTTCCTCGGTGCTCCTCGGTGTTCCTCGGTGCTCCTCGGTGTTCCTCGGTGTTCCTCGGTGTTCCTCGGTGTTCCTCGGTGCTCCTCGGTGTTCCTCGGTGTTCCTCGGTGTTCCTCGGTGCTCCTCGGTGTTCCTCGGTGTTCCTCGGTGTTCCTCGGTGTTCCTCGGTGTTCCTCGGTGCTCCTCGGTGTTCCTGGGTGTTCCTTGGTGTTCCTCGGTGTTCCTCGGTGTTTCTCGGTGTTCCTTGGTGTTCCTCGGTGTTCCTCGGTGTTCCTTGGTGTTCCTCGGTGTTCCTCGGTGTTCCTTGGTGTTCCTCGGTGCTCCTCGGTGCTCCTCGGTGTTCCTCGGTGTTCCTCGGTGTTCCTCGGTGTTCCTCGGTGCTCCTCGGTGTTCCTCGGTGCTCCTCGGTGTTCCTCGGTGTTCCTCGGTGTTCCTCGGTGCTCCTCGGTGCTCCTCGGTGTTCCTCGGTGTTCCTCGGTGTTCCTCGGTGTTCCTCGGTGTTCCTCGGTGTTCCTCGGTGTTCCTCGGTGTTCCTCGGTGTTCCTCGGTGTTCCTCGGTGCTCCTCGGTGTTCCTCGGTGTTCCTCGGTGTTCCTCGGTGTTCCTCGGTGCTCCTCGGTGTTCCTCGGTGTTCCTCGGTGTTCCTCGGTGTTCCTTGGTGTTCCTCGGTGTTCCTTGGTGTTCCTCGGTGTTCCTCGGTGTTCCTTGGTGTCCCTCGGTGTTCGTCCTAAAGAGGTTTGACTGTATAACGGTTGGCACCATCACCATCAAGTGCAAGACCTACACCATCACCATCAAGTGCAAGACCTACACCATCACCATCAAGTGCAAGACCTACACCATCACCATCAAGTGCAAGACCTACACCATCACCATCAAGTGCAAGACCTACACCATCATCATCAAGTGCAAGACCTACACCATCACCATCAAGTGCAAGACCTACACCATCACCATCAAGTGCAAGACCTACACCATCACCATCAAGTGCAAGACCTACACCATCACCATCAAGTGCAAGACCTACACCATCACCATCAAGTGCAAGACCTACACCATCACCATCAAGTGCAAGACCTACACCATCACCATCAAGTGCAAGACCTACACCATCACCATCAAGTGCAAGACCTACACCATCACCATCAAGTGCAAGACCTACACCATCACCATCAAGTGCAAGACCTACACCATCACCATCAAGTGCAAGACCTACACCATCACCATCAAGTGCAAGACCTACACCATCACCATCAAGTGCAAGACCTACACCATTACCATCAAGTGCAAGACCTACACCATCACCATCAAGTGCAAGACCTACACCATCACCATCAAGTGCAAGACCTACACCATCACCATCAAGTGCAAGACCTACACCATCACCATCAAGTGCAAGACCTTCACCATCACCATCAAGTGCAAGACCTACACCATCACCATCAAGTGCAAGACCTACACCATCACCATCAAGTGCAAGACCTACACCATCACCATCAAGTGCAGGACGTACAGCTGACCAGAACCACTACACATGTAACTATCACCAGCATGATATAAATTATTATCACTGAATCAGGTTCTTACATGAACAAACAGACAGATAGGCACGTGAACACATAAATCACATAATTCGTGCACAAAACACCCCCCCCCCCCCCTCCACACACACACACAAATACACACACACACACACACAAATACATACACACACACACACTCATGTACACCGTAACAAAAGAATCCGGCATACGCACTCTTGCACACACTTACATACATGTATACATACACACACTTACATACATAGGAATATATACATACTCAAGTATACAATCACACACAGGTGGTATCTTACCTTCACATTTAGCCGTAACATTGTTTTTCTGGTATCCAATATTACACAGGCACGCATACGACCCTCTCGTATTGCTACAGTGCATTGTGTCTTGTGGACATAAGTCAACCGACCCTGCACATTCATCAATATCTGAAGGAATTTAAAACGTGCAGAAAGGTTGCATCATGTTGTGGAGAGTAATGGGGAAGTGATTTAGTTCTCGTCCCCTTCAGTTTGACTAATAAGGCAGAAGACTCAGAGGCAAACGGTGATTTGAGATAATGAAGAGTCGATACAAAAGAGCCATCAAACCTTCAAGGAGAAGAAGACAAAAAAGCACCCGAACTGTGAATGACAAAACGGAAAGAGAGTTTCATGCATGGTGATGAGGTAGAACACCTCCTTGCATTTGCCTTGCCGAACGTTGTATGGTCTCAAATTGAGCAGATGATCCATGCACTAATGTCTGACAGAGAGAAAAGGACCTGAGAGTAGAGGAGAGAGAGAGAGAGAGAGAGAGAGAGAGAGAGAGAGAGAGAGAGAGAGAGAGAGAGAGAGAGAGAGAGGAGAAAGAGAGGAGGGTATTTCACCACCCAACTATGAATTTGGCAGTCCTGCTTCTCCGATGGCTGATGTAGTCGGACTACAATGAGAGGCTATTCTTATTTTCTCCTGCACTATGGCTGCCGAGGCCCAGACTGTAATGTATGTCATGTGGTGGCTTGTGTAGCTGTGGAGCAGAAGTAAAAGAACAGGCACCGTAAATGTCTGTAAGTAGGTACGTGTCCAGTTTTGAATTTTGTGGTTACACCCGTACCAACTGGGGGGGGGGGGGGGGGGGGTGTACTGACTTTTGGGCACGAACTAACTTCCGGGCCTAACTTGTGTGTAGTGGAGAAGTCACTTTTGCTGTTCATGTACATGTAGGTGTACATGATACGCGGTGCACGTGAAAACCGTACCGATTCTTCTTTTCGGTAGTATGTTCAAACAAGTCAAAAGAATGTGTGTGTGTGAGGGGGGGGGGGGGTATGTATTTGGGCAGGTACCGTATTTTCTAGAGCATAAGCCGAACCCAGATTTTTGTCACGTAATACAGATATCTAACCTGTTTACCACCACTACTAATATCACCATCTTAGTATAAGCTGCACCGACTTGACTTGGGTGAATTACAGGTGTTTAAAGACAGTTGATTGGTTGAGAGACTAACCTCCTCTCCCCTGACTCACTTGAGAGACTAACCTCCTCTCCCCTGACTCACTTGTGAGGTCTGCATTCGCCACTAAGGTTAACAGGCATAGTGGTGGCCTGCGGATGCAAAGGCTAGTTTGTGTGTTTCTGAACATTCAAGCGATGCCGACGCGGATCCCGCGAATAATATTATTATATTATTTTTATTAAAGACAGTTTAAGTGCGGCTTATACTATAGAAAATAGTTCAAAGTACGATACTTTTTTTTGCGTGATTTTGCGGTATTGCAGACGTGAGCATGTGCGCGTGGGGCTCACCTTCACATGTTACTTTGTCGGTTGCAAGGGAGTATCCGGATGAGCAGTGGCACAGAAAAGAACCATTGGTATTCTGGCATATATCCGAACATGCCGATGCACCGTGGCATTCGTCAATATCTGAATTAAAGGACACCAAATTGAGAGCAGCAGTCAAATGCCAGACCATAACTCCTTGGCAGTGCACTGTACAGAGCGGAATCAAGAATTCAGTCGGATGATTCCTGCAGTCTCAACGTTTTTAGATGGCATTCACCCAAACTCCCCATAATTGTTCTAAAGGACTGGACTTGGTCCACAAGTGGGAGTTCTTCCCAGGGCGGACTATGCATTCATGTCGAGCACAGTGTGTTTGTCTCACTCTAGTTGTACGTGTTCTTCTTACCATTGCATTTGCCATGCATGACAGTATCCAACGTGTAGCCCCTTTGACAACTGCAAATAGCAGTGTGTGTGGTTAGATCCTGCACACAGAGCTGTTCACAGCCACCGTTATCCTTGCAGGGCCGAATGGCTGTGGGAGAAAAGGCAGCAAGGAATGGAGATCGACAGAGTATACAAGAAAGTCAATGCCGGTTCAAATACTTCAATGTACATGTTTTGTACAGGTGCCTAGTAGCTTGTAGAAAGCGCGTATATTGCTCGTTTGTCCTTAGAGTGTTTCATGCCAGTCTGTGGTAGAGCTTTCCATACAATATGGAGAAATGAAGCTGTGTCACAAGGCAGAGTTTCATGTAGTTCACAATCATTAGGCAACCTGCCTGCACTCCTTGTTGGACTATTGGGTACAGTTAGGCGTCTTCAATATGGCAATTGTCAGGCAGATGTGATACAGATCAATAGGTGTTGGGTAAGCGACTTACGCGAGCAACGGCTGCTTCCGTTGAGAGCAAAGCCCACATCACAATAACATTGATATGATCCTTGCGTGTTGTTGCAGAATTTCTCGCAGTCATCAGTATTGAGAGTGCACTCGTTGAGATCTGCACATATCACACAGTCATAATTGACGAGGCAGCATCTTTTTTTCACGGCAGTGCCATGTTGAATATTGTTCCGTGTAGCAAAATACAATGAATTCTGCAGTGGAGCAATCTGCCCGAGTTTGTTACAACTGCTTCTTGCCTCACGCATGCTAGAAGCTGATATACAAGTCTTACCCTTTTTCAAGAGTCGGCAGAAAGTAATGATATTACAACTCTTCCACAAATACACTGCATGTACATGCTCAACTACTAAGTATGTTATGGAATGCGTTGAGACCGTTGAAGCGACTAACCAGAACACGTCTTGTCATCAGGATTCAGAGCAAAGCCAGCGTTGCATGCGCATGTATAGTTGCCCTGTGTGTTGGCACAGACCTGCTGACATGGTGAAGATGACCGGTTCCTGCACTCATCAAGATCTGCACAGAGATCATTCAACAATTACAAAACTGGTGAGTGACATTAGATAACTTTTCAAATGCATACTGAGACTATTGCGTGAGGCAGCGCATGTGGTGGCAAGAATCTGTGGATTTAGTACCCAGGCTTAAAACGGTTTTAAGGAAGCAAGCAAGCATGCAGCAGTCATCAAAGAACTTCTTGTCTCTATTATAAATATATGAGTAAGGTTTACACGCTTGAAAATTGCTGTCTGATGCTCGATTAAAACCGTGAAACTCAGAGTTACAGCAGAAGCGCTTTTGATTCCTCTCAAGTGCGTGTACAAGGCTCTGCACATTGAGCACTGTCACGAGCAACCACAACACTCTCCGAGTGAGTAAGGTTTACGATTCATCGCTGCGTATTCCATGATTGCTCACTCGTAGTGTGCACATGTGGTGAATAGAAGGGGGTAGTCGGGTGTTCATGACGAGCGAGCATTAACTGCAATTTCTACATGTGCACATCCAGTATCAGCTCACAGTTTTGCAATGGAACTGACTGGGATATGCCTCTAAGTTATATTCCAACCTGTAACAAGCCACCTCTGTGATAACAGACAACCTCCGCCCCCCCCCCCCCCCCCCAAAAAAAAACCCCTGTCACGTAGTGTTCTATGCCAAGCTCCAACAAGAAATCATCTTAACCTGGGTATGGTGGACACCTGTCTTTGTACCACGAAGTGCATGCTAAAATACAGGCTTGACCGAGCAGGCCAGGATAATCCGCTCTTCCACCGCTTGCCTGCCTCATGTGTGCGAGACACACCGCATGCCGAGAGTGTTGTATGTGATGCTAAGGCCACGTAGCCCCCGGCACTATAATATTCATAGGGGGCAGGTTTCTGTGGCTAGGACAAGTTTCAAGCAATCTGCACTAAGTATAGCCTTTCATTACACCAGCCTGTTATTAGGTCCCGGTGAGTCATCGGCCCTGCTACGTACCTAGGCAGCTCTTTCCGACTCCAGTAAAACCAGGAGGACAGGCGCCACACAGGTAGCCAGTATCCGGCGCAGGCTTGTCGAAACAGTCCACGCCGTCGGAGCAGGGTTGATACGCCGCCTTACACCCGTCCCGATCATCCTCGCAGAATTCACCAGCGTATGCAGGAGGGCACTCGCATGCATGGATGCGCGTCCGCTCTGAACTGCGCGAGGAGAATGTGGCATGGGAGACGTTTCCCCCGTTGTTGCAGTTGCGAATGTAGACAATTGGACGAATGAGCACGGTGGCGGAGGTTTCTGGAGAAATAATCAGGAACTGTAGATTGGTGGCTTTCATATTGAAGTCCACTGCCAGAACAAAGATGTCAGGCCGGGTGCTTGTTCGCTCATCTGAGAACGAAGAGTTCTTGGCTGGTATTCGCTCAACCCGATATGAGCTTTTATCCAGTGTGACATTGGAGAGGTCCACTGTCAATAGGCCTCCCGAGGATATAAACACAGGAGATGTTGTATTCACCCGGATTGGATTGACAACTGGAAATGCACGATACAAACATGGCAAGAGAGCACAACTCCTGTGTGCTTGCACAGTACACTGGATATACCATTGCCGGGCTGCAACATACTACATGTAATGGAATAACGTACTTGAAGAGTTCTTTTCGAAGCCTGGCATGATATGAGATGTATCAGCCTGTGGACCTTGGCTGGATGAACAGAATATTGAGCATTTTTGGCTTTGAAGTACAGCGTTTCACAAGCCTTGGAGGTATGTTATGCAAATGTTTCATCGTACTTCAATTTGAAATTGTAGACATACTAATGCGTGTACATGTCGTACTGTCCGCATCTATGATGTTCCAATATTTTTTATTATTAATTTTCACGAAATCAATCGCTGGTTGACATACACATGCATGCCGTGCACATGTAGATTGGAATTCTCTTACCTTCACCGCACCCTATGATGCGCATCAGCTCTTTGGTATAGTTGAGATCTTTGGTGATATTTGCCACAAGGTGGCACAGAGCGTTGTTGATCTTGCATGACTTGCATGTTTCGTTCACTTGCGGCCAGAAGTCATCATAATACTCAGGTGGCAGGGTTGTTGGACTGCTCGTTGTGGTGGGTGACATGGTACTGGTACCATTTGATGCACAGCGTGGATCCTTGGCTAATTGTAGTGCACTGCAGTTCAATTTCCCTGTTGAAGATGGACACAAGACATCACCAATATGCTCATTGCAAAATGACGTAGTAGTTTGTGACGCCAACACCCCGCATCGCCACCCTAGGCATGGTCGTGTGGAGTGTTGAACAGTGCATTGCTGATCCCATTGTCGTCAGGGGTTGTTCTATCCGACGATATGCCTTTCCGATTACTCTCACTCATGCACGCATATACCACACACAGAGGACCAGTTATTCTTCGCTGCCTTCTTCCTGAGACTTTCCTTGGTGCCAGAACGAATAATTGGTCCTCTGTATGTGGTGTATGCGTGCATCGTCGGATAGAACAACCCGCGATGACACCAGCGTACTCACATGCATCACTCATGCATTTCATATTTTGGCAATGCGCCTTGGGCCTATAAGTCAGAAGTTCACACACATGCACATAGATCTCAAAAGGAACCATTGCTGCATTTCATCATACTGTTGCGAAGAACCAAAACTCACATCTATTAATTGCATCGCCCTGTATTGGCAGTAGAGACGGTCCATCTATGAATAAGAGACCTCGGCTGCTATTCAGAAGGCTCTGTGGACAGCCGACGGTGACAGCAATGGTTCTCCTGTGCGGAAAGAGGACAAGGTCGACCGAGAAGCCACTTTCAAACACCACGCTGCCGTGAGTGCGATTGTGCACGATGACGCTGAAGCCGTTATGAGCGCTGATGCCAATCGGTGTCGGCCGCGGAGCGGTCGTACTGTTGCTCGGAACCCTGGTGCAGTTTCGATTCCACTGCAGACACTCGTACGTGATGCTGACACCGTCGTCACTGAACACTTTGAACACTTTGTTACTCAACGGTTGACCATTAACAGTGAAGGAAAGTGCACCCTCAGCAGACACACCGGCTACACACTGGTCAGTGCTGTTTCCCTGCATGCCAATGCTGGTGACCTGTTGAGGCCCGTCCCCACTGGTCTTTGAAATCACAATTTCACACCGGAAATAACCAGGACTATCCACCAGTAGGAAGTTGCCTCTTTGAAACATTGTATACTGTCCTCCGGGTATAGTGCGGATGATCGGAAGAGCAACAGTTCCTGCAAGAACGAGTACACATTACATAGCCAGGAAACAAGAAAGCAATCGGCAACAGCCTGATTTGAGATACATATTGTTGCTTTTCTATCTAAAGGATAAACAAGTCCAAGGTAGGAGAGAACCTTATGGAGGTTTCAATGGATTCAAAACAGGTTTATTCAAACAATACTACATGGAAAGAAGGATGAACACCAAAGATGACAAAACATGAAGGTTTCAATACTAATCATACATAGCAATGGTGCAACCAAGTCTTCCTTGCCGCTACTCAGAGTCTCTTGTCTGAAAAAATAAACTTATCAGATGGCATCTGTTGCTGTTTGTGAATTGCATTACTGGCTCTGTCCTATGGATATGGGGCACTATATGCAGCCCGAGGATCTTAAACACTTGTGTACAGGTTTCAATGCGTTGAAGTCTCCCAATAAATTTTGCTATAAACTTACTTACCAAGACTCTGCCTGGAATAGGCGATGCTAGACTGACTAGGTCGTTTCTCCCAGTACAGGTGACAAAGAGCTGAGTCCTCACAGCACCATTGCCGTGGCAGGGTCTCCTCGTAGCTGACTGTAGTCGGCTCAAAGCTCAGCCAAGAGAAGCGTACTGAGTTACCACCATCAGGTGGACCTTCAAGGAATGCCCCGTATCCCAAGGGCAGTGTTCGATAACAGCACTCCTGAGATGAACCGGTGATGGATGGGACAGAATTCTGGAAGCACGTCCGCGGGGAAAGTTTCCGAATAAGTTGAAATCGGGAGTCGGCTTGAGCTTGCGCAAGGATCTGTGGACAAGCATTGAAGTATTTCATCCATGTCCTTGGGTCTGGTTGAGATGCGTACCACCGAAGGCACTTTGCCCTTGGACCATCAATGACACCTTTGTATAGCCTGAAGATATACATGGCTCCTTCAGTGCACGCTTGCTGGAAGAGGTATTGGTTGGCGGAGTCCACTTGATCATCGATGCCGCTGATTCTGAAGGTGCCTGACCGCCTGTCATTGTAATATTGCTCCGGCGTTGAATAGCCCATTACGGAATGACCGTACGTGACCCGTGGGTTACGCAGCACTGGGATCGACCACTGGATGGAGTTGACATCGTAGGCGAACGTGGTGTAGGATCGCAGGCCGTCTGTTGCCATGACAGCTTGAAATGTGTTATGCTGTGCGGGAGCAGAAGCAGGGAAACGCCGTGGAAGCAACATGAAAGCACGCAATGATTGAAGTTTGGCAATAGTGCGGAAGGGAAAACAATTCACATTCTATGGGAGGCTCAGAAGGGTACTGTACACCTTTGGCAATGGCAAGACAAATGAATCTATGTGAGTGGTATTGACACGAATGAATCCAGATACTTGTTTTCTTCTCTAGTGTTTTTTTTTATCCACAGTTAAGAGTGGAGCCCATACGCTCTCTTCCTTTAACACTGCAATAGTTCAACTCATTTCACAATAATTATTCCAACGTTTCGGCAAATTGCCTTCATCAGGTTCACAATGATGTGCAAGCTCCCAAACCAGCATTGATAAAGGCCAACTCCCCTGTCAATAAGAGGGTGTGAGAAGCAGCACGAAAAGAGTCCAGCTAATAGTGCTAACATCAACTATCAGTGGAGGGGACTACAGCTGAGGTAAAAACAAAAACAAAACAAAAAAACACATTATCCAGCGCCGAATATCATGATAATCAGACAATAAGCGAGTGGCGATACAAATTACAGCAATGACCACCTAGCGTTAGTGTTTATCTTTGGAGCCAAATTTCTGATCTCCACAGCCTCCTTCAATTTCCTGCCAGCTCTGTCGCCTTCTCGAGCGAGGACTGACACTGCCTGTGAAGGCGCTATCTCGTAGTCTCAATCTCCTGCGCGAATGCTTGTTTCTCATGTGGTCACCCCAAGGCTTGTCACGAGTCCTTCGACATGCTTCTCCATTATGTTCCTTTAGACGGGTCTCTAGTGATCGTTCTGTCTCTCCAACGTAATATTCCGTACACCATTTGCAATCTATTCTGTATACTACATTCTTTTTCATGCAAACCTTCTCCCCACCGGATTGGCAAGTAAGACATGGCTCAAGTGGGCGGCCCCGTCTCCTACGTTGCGTAATATTCGGCTCCTTGACACACTGGGGTGGAGACTGTGCTGAACGACGTAATTGATTGCGGAGACTGCCCGAGTGCTCATAAACTACTCTTAATTTGTGAAAAGTGAAGACCTCCTAGTACTGTACGAGTGTACTAACCTCTATTCTGCATGGAACATTTTACTCTATTCTGCATGGAACATCTTACTCTATTCTGCATGGAACATGTTACTCTATTCTACATGCAACATCTTACACATACAAATAGTAGTACTGCTGACGTGAACAACAAACAAAAACGTATTTATAAGTGGGGGTGGGGTATGCTGGCCAAACCTTACCAGTTGGTACTTGTAGCGGCTTGGGTAGGGCGTGATTCTCTCCCATGTTACAATTGCTGCCCATGTTGCGGTGAAGTAGAATGATTTGTCAGTATTCCTCTCTTTAGCAAGGATCAAGCTCTCTATTTCCTCCAGCATTGCCTTCTCCGAGGACACCTGCCTGTCGTAGAAATGATACCAGACATGAGATCTGAGACCATCTGGAAGATTCTTGGAGTACGAGTTGTCAGCCAAGCACCAGTAGGGTGCCAGAATTGTTGGCTGTGTGGTCCAGTTTCCTGGGAACAGCTGGGGATGGCGGATTGGTTGGTCTTGATCCAGCATGATCAGTCCATTCTCACAGATCTGCACACCGGCGCACATATTCAAGAAGGAGCATGTCACAGCCTTGCCAAGGAGACGAGTAGTGTATGTGCGTGTAGATGCTGGAAAACAAGTTCTCTTCTTCTTCTACATGTATGTATCTGCTACCGCAACCCTAACCCCAATAGGCATGTGCCCTGAGCTAGGAAAGCCATCACACTGTAACCACAGATATCACTCTATTATGAAACAGGAGAAGCATGTTGCTCAAATTTTCAGCAGTAACTGAAGGTAAGATTGTTTCTTGGCATTTCTATATTATTCAATATTTTAAATGATCATGATTATTGAGATCACAAAACACTCTGTGACTTGGGAACTTGATGTGGCCTCTGGAGGATTTGCATGCGAATTACCATATTTTCTGGGGTATTACGGGGAGTTCCACTAGCTCTCGGAGTGACTAATTGACTGATACCTAATCATAATAAAGTACATCATGTGACTTGGGATATAGAGCAGCAGGCAGCTGCAGGGTTGAGACCAATATAATTCAGAAATAGAAGCGGAGCTTATATGCTTGACAATCACTTAAACTGCAAGCATGAAGGCATTGGTACTATGCCAGCTCCCTCTCTTTCTCACTCACTCACTCCCTCCATCTCTCTCTCTCTCTCTCTCTCTCTCTCTCTCTCTCTTCTCTCTTCTATCTCTCTCTCCCCCCCCCCCCTCTCCCTGGAACAGGCTGAATGTGGAAGGCAAACTGACTGAGGACAGCATCAGTCCAGTACAGAGAAATGCCCATAAACTCACTGTCACTTTGTTATGCTGGGTGTCATTGATCGGAAATCCATTTGCCGAGTTTGCCAGTTGCCTTGTGACGCATGATGTTCCATTGCCAAGCAAAAGCTGTGTGTCATTCACCCTTGTGCCATATGTAAAGAATTGTGAGGAGTTTCGTCCGCAATCGGATATGTTTCCAACTGCAGTTACATCACCAGAATTAGACACGCACATCAAACGAGAGAGCTTGGAAGCTCAGGGCCCTACGCTATGCTTTTTTGCCTTGATGATCTAGACAAAAAAAACATAGGGATGTTATAAATTCTTATAAATTTCTACTTTTTGTTTTTAGCCATAACCTGGGATTCGAACCCGCACTATCGCCCTGCATGCATCCCCCGATACACTTCGCATACATACTAATTCTTCCAAGTTGCTTCACGTTATGATCTTGTATTTGAAAGCCGTATTTGAATATGCATTGTGGCCAGCCTTCTTTGATTGTACGGTACGGTACGGGACAGGTACGGGACAGGTACGGTCGAGGGTAATACGACACCATCTACCGCCTTGATGACGGCAAAAAAAGAATAGGGATGTTATAAATTTTTCAATTTTCCTATTTTTTCAGGCATTACCTGGGATTCGAACCCGCACTATCGCCCTACATGCATTCCCCCATACACTTCGCATTCATACTCATTCTTCCAAGTTGCTTCACGTTATGATCTTGCGTTTGAAAGCCCTATTTGAATATTGCGGCCAGCTGTATGTGCATGTGGCCAGCTGTGTTTGATGGTACGGTACGGGACGGGACAGATACGGGATAGCGCCAGGCGTGACACAAACACACAAACACACAAACACCAAATTAAAGCTGTGTGGACCCTGGCTAGCGCCAGATGTTACTGAAGTAACGTCTTCTGCATAGCTACGGGAATAATTCATAAAATTATACTTGAAATGCTCTCACTAGAACAGTGAGAGCATTTCAATGCTCCCCATTTTATTTCTGCTTTGAGAAATAAAGTTTCACCACCTCACCAAGGCCTGTACGCCCGTCCGTCCGTCCGTCCGTCCGTTCATTCGTCTGTCTGTCACCTACCCGTTACTTCTTTCCTACCGCCATCACACCCTTCTGCTATAGATGCACTGGTGGTGCAGCAGGAAAGGACACGAGTATCAGCAGTAATGCACCACCTCAGGTTTACTGTCAGAACACTTGGCAGTCTCAGTCATAGGTGCTCCTTTCCAAGTGCGGGGATACAATCATGCATACACAATCTGCCCTGTTACGAGGATCACTTACCTGTGTGGTCGGCAACAAATTGCCATCTATTCGGGTCCTGGATACCGAAAAACGGCGCTCCTCCGCCTGTGCAGCTTTGCTGCCCTACCACGAAACCATTGTCCATGGTAATGGAATATGTTGCATCAATCTTGAGCTTCGTTGTGACGTAGAATATAAGCTGATAGTGGTTTAGATAAATCGGGTGCTGTTTCAGGATGGCGTCGTGTGGACTAAGGGAGAACACAGCGGGTCTTACCACTGTGCCATTCTTCACCTCGTTGATGCGAATGACAGCCTTGCTACCTTGCAACGGCCTGAGGATCTGTGGAAGTAGCATAAATGTTCAAGGCAGATGTTTGCAACTCACGCTCAGCTAGTGTTGGACTATTCATGTCATTCTCTTTCAGACATGAACGCGAGTGCTCGAGTTAGGTGCAGTAAAACCTGGTGTAGGCGACCTCTCGTATTAGCGACCGTTTTTCCATGCACGGACAGTTCTACACAGACACTGCGGGACCTGGTTCTAAAGACCACCTGGCTTTAACGACCGCTTTTCCTTGCACCGTGGGGTGGTCGCTTAAACCAGGTGTTTACTGTATATAATAACCTATGCACAGTGCACAGTGCACACTTCCCACAGATGCCACCTTTTTTGCAAAACCACCAGTCAGATCAGACCCTACTGAGAGCATGCATCTGCGTACACTCGGACCAGTGTTTAATTAAAGACGGCCTAAACGTTAGACCTACTGTCTACAGAGACTCGTTTTCCATGCACAATACCAGGAGACTTGTCTTGTTACAAATAATCTGCTAAGTCAGTACAGTAAAACCAGGGTTAAGCGACCATGCATGGATCAAGCAAAAGGGCCTTATGACCAGGGGTCTCTCAAACCAGACTTCATGCATGCAGGTGACTTGATGAAAAACTGTCACAAAGGCAGGCGGTCTCCTAAACCAGCTAACACTGTAGAAGGCCAGCAATGGGTTGCACGTAAGCGCTGTGCCAATACCTATCTTACCTGCTGGTCAAAGTCAACAGAAAACGTTGCGCGAAAATACGGTGCTGTTTTCCCGCGTGACATACTGGGCGCCGCGGTGCCTGGGATGATCTCTGGGGCACTTGCTGGAAGATAACACGCCACAGATAGACATCATATGAACATTTGCACGCCTGACACAAGCGTTTTCCGGCAACACATCTCACTACATGTGGTAAAACGTGGAATACTTTAAATCCTCCTTGAGCCAAAACTTCATTCGTTATAATGACGGACAATGTGGAACATGTAGCATGTCTTTGTTTCCAGAGAAAAGATTTTCATGAAAAATGATCACTAACACTGAGATATGAATGCGATTGACATTTCCTCACATTAAGCCACAGTAACAAATTAATTTGATGATTGTTCTCGACTAGGTATACAATGATAATGTGTGTGCCAGCGGTGTACAAAACTTAAATGCACATTCGTTCACTTTCAACTTACCACCCGCCAGCAGTGTAACACATATTTGAGGAGTTGTTTGCCTGTAGGAGAATTGGTAGGAGAACTAAAGTGAATTCATGTTGTGTTATAGATGCATCAGAAATTCTGAATTTCTGCATCAGAAATTCTATTTTCAATGGAAGTGTGAGTCCATGAAATCTGCACCACTGTGCGAACCCAGGTTTTGAATTGCTCTGGTTTCAAGAAGTCATCAAACATATTATTAAATTTTATTCCCGTAGCTATGCAGAAGACGTTACTTCAGTAACGTCTGGCGCTAGCCAGGGTCCACACAGCTTTAATTTGGTATTTGTTTGTTTGTGTGTTTGTTTGTTTGTTTGTGTCACGCCTGGCGCTATCCGTATCTGACGGGAAAAAAGCATAGGATGTTATAATTTTTTCAATTCTCCTATTTTTTTCAGGCATATCCTGGGATTCGAACCCGCACTATCGCCCTACATGCATTCCCCCATACACTTCGCATTCATACCCATTCTTCCAAGTTGCTTCACGTTATTATCTTGCGTTTGAAAGCCCTATTTGAATATTGCGGGCAGCTGCATGTGGCCAGCTGTGTTTGATGGTACGGTACGGTACGGGAGACGGTGTCGTATTACCCTCGATCGTACCTGTCCCGTTCCTATTCCCTACCGTACCGTGCCATCAAAGACGGCTGGCCACAATGCATATTCAAATAGGGCTTTCAAATGCAAGATCACAATGTGAAACAACTTGGAAGAATTAGTATGTATGCGAAGTGTATCGGGGGATGCATGCAGGGCGTGCGATAGTGCGGGTTCGAATCCCAGGTTATGTTTTAAAAAAAGAATTTTTTTAAAAGAATTTATAACATCCCTATGCTTTTTTTTGTCTAGGTCATCAAGGCAAAAAAGCATAGCGTAGGGCCCTGAGCTTCCAAGCTCTCTCGTTTTTGAAGATGGCACCCCGGGAATCAACCACATTGACTTAGCATGCACTGAGATGAGTGTGTTGCACTTGTCCTGTGTGACACACGCAAGCCACTTCTACAGTTGTAGCCAGTGTAGTTGGATCTCATGAATGCACTAGCACTGGCCCTTTGATCTCATGAATGAAGTAGCACTGCGCTCAAATGCACCAAACAACATCTGTGGTGTTTCGGGTGTGGCGTAGTGCATTCAAAGTTTGTGAAGACATATTTTGCATGCAACTTGAAGCAGGAGTTTGTACTAGGGTTACAGCATTTTACTCGTGCCTGGCTACAATCTCTGGACCAAAGGAGTACTATAATTATAGGATTTCAGAATGCAAAGCATTGGATCATCAGTCAGAGTCAAGCTGCTTCTGGATGAGTTTTGCTATCTGAATGGAAAACCTCTCGGTTAGTATTGTGTGTGGATGTGAATAGCTCTTGAACCCAAAGGTCAGAGTCTCGCAAGTAACTTCTTCCAAGAATTATTGCAAGCACTCAGGATAATTCTCGTCATTTGGCAATGTAAAATGAGCACTCCAGAGTTTGCCTTGACAAGGTGGTTTGGGAGAATACAGTCAGGAGCAGGATACAGCGGCTAAGTTGAAACTTCCTCTAGACCCAGCGCTTACCCCTGAGAATCTTCCGCTAGGCAACAGAGTACATGCTGTCCATACTGTTCACGGTTCGGTGTCCACTTCACCCACATCTCACTGTAAAAGGCTCCGTTCTCACTGAACTGCCTGATAGGGCCCTTTACCATGCCAATCGGTGATGTCAAAGTGAAGTCTCTGATTCTGTAAGGCAAGATATTAAAAAAACCCAGCAGCCGGTGTCTCAGAAAGCACAAGTTTTATTACTCCGTATAATGGTGGCAAGTGGAGCAAGTGAAGGGCTCCAATTCAAAAACGCGATAAAGACCATACCGGAACTTTTGCGTTTTTTGTCACGAAATAATTCGTTTTCACCCCATGGACGTCTGTGTGTCGGTTTTACGGGTCAAAACGCAATACATCCCAGTCAAAATGATGCCTCAAGTTTGTGTTCTTCCGCAAACGCGATAAAAGTCATTGATGCTGCAGTGCAGACCGAAAAAGAACAAATGAAAAATGCACTTCCTGAAATTTCCACAAAATGCATTTATCTCGTTTTTAATTGGAGCCCTTCAAGTATACCTAGGTACAAAGTGCAGTAATCGTGGTGAATTTGGATATTCAAAACAACCAAATAACAACGTTTGTACAACTAGGACTGGACTGAACACATATCTTGTGCTATTGTGATAGTGATCGTTTGAGGCAGCGGAAGAGAGATTTGTTCAATGGAAGTCTTAGGTGCAAAAGGGCTTGAGAGTGCTACGTCACAGCCAGCCTGGAGTCCTGGCAGCCCTGACTTTTGGATTCACTTGGACACAGATTTTGTATGGATCCATCGTTTCTTCTTTCACAGCAGGGTGACACATCTGCCGGTAGTGTCGTCTCGGAAGGTTGGGAACCGTGAACGAACTGCCTCTACGCTCCTCGCCACGCCACACAACAGAGAGCCAGTACAAATTGTTAGAGAGCTTTTCTTCTACTTCATTTCAGTAGGCGACTGGGGAACTCATAAAGAAGAACCAACACTGACAACGAACGACTGACAACGAACGTCTGACTCTGACAACGAATGTCTGACGACTGACGACGACCGTCGGACAACAGACGACTGACATGGCAAAAGGAAAACATGATATCAGAAATAATTGGTGCCCTCGTCAGCACAAAAGGTGGTGTACTGGGCACAAAAAGGTGCACGTGTCAACAACAAAGCAGCGCAGCAGCATGTACGGGTCAGCAACAAAGCAGCGCAGCAGCATGTACGGGTCAGCAGCACAGAGACACAAATTCAGCAGCAGATACGACAAAGAGACAACACGTGCAGCCACATGTACACACAGCGACACAAATACAGCAGCAGCTACGACGAAGAGATAACACGTGCAGGCGCAGGTACAACAGTAGTGACTGGACTGAGCCCTCTAACGGTCCTGGAACAACCGCTGGCAGAGAACAAATTCACACCTGCGTACAACATGAGGGGCCTACCCATCACAGTACTGTAATCCACTATGGGCAGAGTGGATCCGAGAAAGTCGTTATTTAGCGGTTAAATTTGTGAATGTAAAAGGCATGTGAATGCGATGGGCACTTCTGTACAAACATACTACCGGTTCTATAGCTATAGACCAACGGACTCGGAAAAGCATGACTTACCTGTTAAACTGCGAAGTTTCCCTGACCCTGAGCGTGGCATTATACTGGGTGCCCGGCTTGATGGGAATACATCTCTTGTCGACGGGACTGGGAGGTGCAAATTCTGGGCGAGTGGTGCATGCCACGTTTGACTTGTAAACATCTAATAAGAACTGGAGAGGAACCTGACTAAGAGCGGGGCCATTCGGATCCGACTGCACAAAGTCTTCCAAGACAATCGCCACGGCATGGAGATGCTTTTCTCCTGTTTCTAGCGTGGGTGGAATCATAATAGTGCAGGGATTCTGCAGCCAATGAAGAGAGAAGTTATCAGCATCATTATCACTCATAGCGAATATGTCACCACACTCACGCTCTTTCCGCAATTTACACTGTTTGGCGGAGGGGGACTCTATGGTAATGCTGTCATGTGGGTATTCATTGTGGTTAGATCTACTAGACGTAGGAAGTTCGGCAGAGCATTCACATGTACACAATTACATGGAATGGTTATGCACAGGCACAGCACAGCTATTTCTTACATGCTGGGATGGGGAGAATTCTGAGCGAGAGAAGAGGCTACCGTATTGATCATACCCACATTGTGCTTGCTTGGTCTTAGAAGTGTTTTCAATTATAACACTATGAACAACAGCCACAGCCACAGCCACGGTGCAGCCCCTACTCAGTCTGAGCTGTCACATTTGTCCTTGTCTCAGTACCATTGTCTTTCATTATTTTACGAGTTGGGTATGTGAACATAGTAAAAAAAATAAAGATAAAAACACAAACGCCGGGCGACGATGACAACAACAATAGAAACAACAACAACAACAACGACAACAACAACAACAACAACAACAACAACAACAACAACAACAGCAGCAGCAGCAGCAGCAGCAGCAACCGTAGCCACAACACCAGCACCAGCAGAAACAATACCAACGAATGCAGAAGCAGCAGTGGCAGCAGCCACAGCACCAACAACACATCAACAACATACCGTAGAATTCTGCGGATAAGCTCATGGGCTTATCTGTTTCACAAGGACATTTCGGTGGGCTTATACGAGAACATGGGCTTATACGCGGGCGTGGGCTTATACGCCGACACCAAGTTGTGCTATTGAAAAGTATCAAGGAAGTGTGAAGTACATTGCTGAAAACCACTGTGCAAACAAAAACAACCGATGGTTGTGCTGAAATGTACGAAAAAACTGTAATGTGCATGTACTACGTACATGGTATGGCCAAGAGTCCATAATTTATGGACTCTCGGTATGACCTAGGCCAAGAGTACATGAAACCCGTTTTCATGTACTCTTGCCTAGGCCCATGGGCTTGTACGATGAAAGTTTGTGATGTTCGAACAAACCCTGGGCTTATGCGCGGGCAGTGTACGCTTCTCGTTGGCTGAGAATTCGAAAGAAACGAGAAGCAATGTTCTCTCGAACTTCGAATATTTGCGAAGCTTGTTTTTTTGCTATCTGGATTATTTTTGTTGTGGCACGTGCACGCAGTGCAGGTTGACGTCACTGTAGTGACGTAATTGTTGTTGAGCGAGCGCTGTGAAACAGCGCTTGCGCAAAAAGATTGTCCTTCTTTTTGTCTTGCTCATCAAGGGCCCGCCCACCCACCCTCTGTATATATATAATTGCTCTGATTGTGAATGCGGTGGTTTCCTTGCTGTATCTTTCTGCACTGCTGATTTTATAAGTTCTAATTGCTTATTATTTTATTTCATTTATCTGAGTGGTCATTCTGGTCTAACTGTTGCTGTATCATTTTGCCTCAAATTCTGGCAACTCTGTTTTCCCCTTGAAACAAGGCAATGTGGCTGTCCGCAGCCGACCCTGCACTGTGGTTTTGCTGTTGCAAATGTGAGGTGTGAGAGAGAATGGGCTTATACGCGGGTGGGCTTATCCGCGGGATACTACGGTATTCAGTGACCCAGCATTCCCGTCAGCCTACATGCTTACCGATATCAGAGTGGCATTGAACAGCGGAGGAAATACTCCGCCGCACTCTGAGTAATCTTTACACCATCTGCACCTCACAATGTCATTGTCTGGATGGTCCGTGTGGATCGACAGGTTTTGGCCACAACCGTACTGCATTCGGACGATGGGGATCTGTGCTGAACGAGGACTATGGTTGATCATGCCCGTGTCCGTGCGTTGAGTTAGATTCATGCTGAAGGGCCATACCCAGCCCGTGTCTCTGTACCGGACCAGTGTACTGATCCAGCAGCAGCTCTCATAACTAAACAGTCAAACAGGCAAACATTCAAACAGGCGAACATTCAAGCAGGCAAACAGTCAAAGAGACAAACAGTCAGACAGCCAATGTTCCAGAAAGAAATAACCGTAGGCACCCGCATGTGCAGTTATCATGTCAAATTTAAGGGTTGACAGAGTTCACAAACGTGAATGGAATGTGCACTGCGCGAAGTCTTTAGAAGCGTTGTTAGGCACTTCCTGCTACTCACAGCCAAAGGTTGATGAAGTGCACGTAATGAGACAAAAGATGTCCTGAAAATGAGTTAGAAAGGTGTGACGGACTCGACTGGCACACGTTTTGTGTACTCCACCACATCACACTACCTCCATCAGTAGAGCTATAGAATGTATACAATGCAATAACGAGAGAGCTTGGAAGCTCAGGGCCCTACGCTATGCTTTTTTGCCTAGCGAGAGTCAACTTTCTCTTTGCATTCGAGGGTAATACGATATCGTCTACCACCTTGATGACCTAGGCAAAAAAAGCATAGGGATGTTATAATTTTTTCATTTCTCCTATTTTTCAAAGACATAACCTAGGATTCGAACCCGCACTATCGTCCTGCATGCATTCCCCCGATACACTTCGCATACATGCTCATTCTTCCAAATTCCTTCAAGTTATGATTTTGCATTTGAAAGCCCTATTTGAATATTGTGGCCAGCTGTCTTTGATGGTACGGTACGGGACAGGTGCGGGATAGCGCCAGGCATGCCGATGCTGTCCTTGATGGTACGGTACGGGACAGGTACGGGATAGCGCCAGGCATGCCAATGCCGTCCTTGATGGTACGGTACGGGACAGGTACGGGATAGCGCTAGGCATGCCGATGGCACAAACAAACAAACAAACACGGAATTAAAGCTGTGTGGACCCTGGCTAGCGCCAGACGTTACTGAAGTAACGTCTTTTGCATAGCTACGGGAATAATAATACTTGAGTAGCAACTTTATTAGGATGACCCAAAGGCTGACCGCCTGTCGTGGGGTCCGTCGCATCAAGAGTACATAACCCCCCAGAGTGTGCAACTCCCACATACCCTGCTGTCCCGACAGAAGTTGACGTCATTATTTATGACGCAATGCTCCTTGTACCAGTGATTTACAACATGTGTACGGGCGTCAACGCATCACACGTTTTTCTTTGCAATAATTTGTACAGGATCAGATCGGCTTCCGTCAACCACAGGTTCCGGATTCGTCTGATAATCCGTGTACAGTGCGCATTGCATCATCAAAATGACGTCAACTTGAAATTCTGTCGGGACAGCACCCATAGTCGAGTTGCACACTCTTGGGGGGTTATGTACTCTTGGTCGCATTGAAGGATGATGGTACCTGTCGTGTGCTCTGGGTGGTAGTCGTGGGTCAGATCAATGTCACAAGTTTCCAGTCGGCAGCAACACGCAAACTCCCACACTCTTCCACCAGAAGTATTAGTTCTGCACTCTAATCGTGCTACGAGAAATCTATTATCACCTACATTTAGCTTTGTGTCCCAGATAATTGGTGTCAAAATGAATTATACAACACAAACCATACCTTACCACAATAGAACCTCGGAGAAAGAGGTAGACCTACACAGCTGCACCAAGCCTTGCTTGTGTATTCATGCAGCCGGAAACGCTTTCGAGTAGTCTACCGACCGTAGATCTACGTGTCGCACCATTTGCCTCGTCCTCGCCACTGCACTATCCGAACTGAACAGTCCGAAGGCCACAGGTATCGTTTCGTTGGTACTACATTCTACATTCTACAGGTAATCAAATGCAATCTCCCAAGACGTTGGAGCGAATGTGGATAGCTAGTGATTGCAGAGGAGTCTTTTCCAATTCCCAGCCCAGTTACACAGCAAGGAGCTCACATAAGCCGATGTCCAAAGCTACATAGAGCGCTACCTAAGTCCTTACCTGGAGAGTAGAGTGTTGAAGCTGGCGGCCTGATGATTATGTCGGCGCGGTACGTGTACTTTGAACTAACTTTCGACCAGTTTTATCGTAGACCCGGGTGCTCGAATGAGACACAGGGTACCAAAACAGAAACACCCTGAAATTGTACCTAAACTTGTTCCGATTTCGTTTTTTTCACAAATACCATCAACATACTAGTACGCGTTAAATTTGGCATACCGTTAGCGGGCCGTATACGGCCGTTAGCGGGCCGTATACGGCCCGCTAACGGTATGCCAAATTTCAGCGCTGCCCGGTAAACGCTTTTTGAAATACTCGCGACCCACTTTTTGCTGGGTCCTTGATTCGAGGATATGGGTCTCCTGTACGGTGCTGCAAAAGACCTGCTGAATCTGCGGCTCCACTGACCATCTTGCTCTCAAAAATGAAGTAGTAAGTTACTACTCCCTGCCCTCAACTGCCACACCAAGCGTAGACGATGGTAGACCATGGTAGACCCGTGTGCTTGAATCGGATTATCGGAGACGATCTGACGAGTTCGCTGTTTCTGATTCGAGCACCCAATTTTCAAATAAAAAATCCGAAGGAAATACGACAATTTTACTGCGTACTGTAGCTTGTGTTGTAGCGCACCCAGGTTCTGAATTCCTGCTGGGTGGGTCAAGCCAGACTCTCTTCCAGGGAGTAGTACAATACATAATGTATTGTACTACTCCCTGCTCTCTTCCCTGTTAACGTTGTTCCATCGCCTCTCCAAAAGTATATTCTGACATTATTGAGATTTACAGATGAGAAATTTCACACCTGTCAAATCGTTTCTGATTCGAGCACCCGGGTCTACACAGTACACGGCAGATCTTGATCATACTACTTCTTCGACTTAGTTTGAAGTAGTGACCAGGTGACTAAGGGCGCGTTCGTCACTCTTTGACTTTTCGAGGAGCTTCGTTTTTCTGAAGAGGTGGCCTTATTGGCCTCTTCAGAAAAACGAAGCTCCTCGAAACTCCTCGAAACTCATCCGATGGGAAGGTGGATTAGTTTCGAAGAGTTTGGAATAGCTACATGTAGCTACATCACGTAGTACGTGGAGATGGTCGATCTGATCGGACGTCATCATCGCCATGACAATTCCACTAAACTCTAAAAATGATAGAAACCGTTCTAATGGGACACTTCAACTAATCTCTTTATAAAATTTGTTCGAACAGTTGATGAAGACAATTCGAACGCGCCCTAAAACTCGCGGAGCATTTCATGGCGTCTGCCAATGCCACCCAAGCACAATCATGCATCGTGCATTGGCGGCGGTCCAGTTCCGCTGGTGGACTGAAACTCCTTTTCGGGTTTAGATCACCAGTGATACCAAGGCAAGAAGAGTAGATCTACTGGTACATAAGCTAAAGAAGCGTAGTAAAGCCCAGCGTAGATCTATGTAGATCTATGTACTCTTGCCAAGTCTTGGTGGTACCTGCACACCCGTGATCATGGTGATTGCAGTGCACAAACTTTAAAGGGGAAGTATACCCTAAAATCAAATTTTCACCAGTTGTAGTCTTCGGGGTGCTGAGTCGAATGGTCTTGGTCCGAGGAAGCTGCGACGCTCCCTTCCTACTTGAATCCCAATCGAACTCGCGCACTTCCACCGAAACCGGGTAACTGCGCCCTACTAGATGGGGATTTGTATGCAAAATGTCACTAAAAGCGCCATTTCGTTCTTATAAAAGCACGGATGACCGCGATTGGCCCATATGTTGTAGTCTTTTGGACGCTGAGTCGACTGGTTTTGGTCCGAAAAGGCTGCGATGCAGCGTTCCTCCTTTATTCCCAATCGAACATGGTTGAACAAGCGGTCACGTGCTCCTGCGTACACCAGTCACCTGGTCACGATCACCGTGCCTGCAGGGTACAACTTACTAGCCTGTTTGACCTTTTTTGGGTGCAGTCCTGTCACTCGAGTTGAACTCGAGTTGAACCTTGGTGTGAAAGTTGTCGCCTGCTGGCGCGGTGACCAGGTGATTTTGGCACCCAGGAGCACGTGACCGCTTGTTCAACCATGTTCGATTGGGAATAAAGGAGGAACGCTGCATCGCAGCCTTTTCGGACCAAAACCAGTAACTCAGCGTCCAAAAGAGTACAACATATGGGCCAATCGCGGTCACCCGTGCTTTTATAAGAACGAAATGGCGCTTTTAGTGACATTTTGCATACAAATCCCCATCTAGTAGGGTGCAGTCACCCAGTTTCGGTTGAAGTGCGGGAGTTCGATTGGGATTCAAGTAGGAAGGGAGCGTCTCAGCTTCCTCGGACCAAGACCATTCGACTCAGCACCCCGAAGACTACAACTGGTGAAAATTTGATTTTAGGGTATACTTCCCCTTTAAAAACAGGTTAGCGGTGCTTTACACAATACTTCTGTACAACCTATCGATTGCTCCCCTTGCCTTACTACTACTAGTACCTAAAACTGATTACTGTAGGGTCTACGCACTAACAGTACAGTCATAATGCACACATACAGACTCAGTACTCGTATGTGTAAAGGTGCAAGTACAGTCATGTACTACTTTAGCCAGGAGTTCAGCGCATCCATCCTTATTGCAAAGTGTTGTTCTTCTGGTCATCCAGCCCCTCCTAGTTCACACGTATAATGCTATAATCACATTGCCCACTGACCGTCGGGCACCAGAAAACAAGGATATTACTGTTACTATTAGTAAGCGATAGAGCACCAGTATCCTCTGTTATTCATTGTTATACGCAGTCCTTAATCGGTAATAACTCTTCCTCATGGCGTTCTGGCTAGGCTTTCCCCAAATTGGCCAGCTGAAAATTTCGCCTAAAATGAGACTTACAAAGTTATTGAAAACCATGGCGTGGAATGTCTCAGTACTCCTTCTCAGTTTTGTGGTAGATTGTGCATGTCTGACCGTTCAAAATCTGGTTTAGTTGGTGGACTCGATCGCATAACTTGTGCTCACAATTTCCATGTTAGAATTTTTTCCTTGGCTCACCATCTGAGTTCTTATGGAAAAATTGCTAAGCTTTTCACTGGTTTTGGAGGGTTCCACTGAGAATCGCCAAAAATCTACCAAATGTTATTGCAAAGTGCGTTTACGAACGAATGATGTTGCTACAAGCATGACCGCTCGAGCTCTCTACTTCAGTACTTGTAGTACTACTTGAGTAGTGCGTTGAGGTTGTGTGACTCGTGTCCTTTGACCTCCTCTCAAACAAAGATTAGCAATTAGGAAGATCGCGACCAGTAAAATACTACACTATAACGTACAGTTGTGGCCAGTAAATCTGGCCACTACAATTTGTAGTCGATCACGCCAATTTGGAAACCAATAATTATGTCAACAATTTTGCAGCCGATTTTCCAATATATGCCAATTTTGCAGCCGATTTTCGAACAATCAGCTGATTTTACAGCCGAATCTGATGTACTTTTGAGCCGAGCAAAAGGCCGAATAGGCGAAACGGGCCGATTTGGGGAAAGCCTAGTTCTGGCACAAGGCAACTCGTTTGTGGAGTTATTTGGTGGTGACCTTACCTGGCTCTGAATCGGGCAGGGGCACCAGAAAACGTGTAGTCAAATATCCGTCCACCTTGAGACCAATCCTCTTCTTCTTTGGGGCTATACTCGGTGCTGTAGTACTGCAAGTCCTTGAAGGTGCCTCTACACCCTTCCGTACAGCTTAAGTATGTACTTGCTCCATTCGGACCTTGCAATGGTATGCTTGGGTCTATATCGGTTGGATCGCAGTACAAACCTCGCCATTGGCAGTATGCCGATAATCTCCATGCAATTCGAAAGTCACACTGCAGCTGCAGGGAAGACAAACAACGATGAGCATATACACGTTGTTGATAATGTAAGCGCAATTCTCAGGCCACTAATGAATGTACAAACGTCCATGATAGGACATCATTAACTATTTTCACTTTCACACAGTAGGTCCTCTCTGAGCACAATGCTGGAAAGGGCAGAGTTTCCTTACATGTAAGGGGAACAAGAGACCGAGAGGCGGAGACAGAGAGACAAAGACAGAGAGAGAGAGAGAGAGAGAGAGAGAGAGAGAGAGAGAGAGAGAGAGAGAGAGAGAGAGAGAGAGAGAGAGAGAGCGTGAGAGAGAGAGAGCGTCATCGAGCCGAGCACAAGCTACATTCCAAGGCTTCATGGGATGTCAGGGACGTAGAAGGTCTAGCCAGAGATTGTGTTGCGCCAGAAGGACCACCAGCCCGGAATGTAGCAAGTGCAGTGGCCTGGGATAGCGCTATCAAGCAGTGCTCAAGCCGACTTTCATGCCGTGGAATGTCTCAGTACTCCCTGTCAGTTTTGTGCTAGATTGTGCACGTCTGACTGTTCAAAATCTGGTTTAGTTGGTGGACTCGATCGCGTAACTTGTGCCCACAATTTCCCATATTATTAAATTTAACTTTGAGGCAAACCTACCACCACATTGCCGTCGTCATCGAATCCGCCATTGCTGCTAGGATTTGGTCCACAAGAAATAATGCCGCCTCGGAAGTGGGTTGCTTCGGAGGTGATCGCGAAACCAAGCAACAGCACAGCGAGGCATAAACAGCCAGGCGGATTCCCACGACTACGCATGCTGCTCAATGGTGAGGGTGTCTGGAATAGGTAGAAACCGCAGAAATGAATCACACTCAATGTTTGCGCAACAAGGCATCCAACCGACTCTGCAGTTCTCCGTCAGCTCTCTGATCTCTCCTTGCCTCTGCCAAGACTGCAGTGCTCTGCTGCTACTTGCAAAGAGGTTGGGATCGCCAAGAAACGTCGCCTTTCGTCAGCGAGGTGATCACAATAATTATGTTTCTAGTCTTTGCCGGATGACAAAGTAAGTACATCCATCGGTAGCGTTAGAGTAAATGCGTAAATGTCGGTGTGAGGTTGGTAGGGTTGTGACGGTGCTACATGTATTCACCCATAGTCTGAGGAATGAGGAAAGGTGAGTGGCTGGTATATGTGCATCAGCTGAAGTAAAGATGTAGGAATCATGTACATGTACATATGGCCAGTATGGGGCAATCCCGGACACCGATGGATTACTCAGTATTCCATCCTTCATACTCATAGTAATACACTAGGGCAAAGCAGTTTGACACTTGCTTTACCTAATCAGATGATTGCGAAGCCAAAACAAGCGACAGCACACGTGATCATGGTTAGCAATAGCTGGAGGAAAATAGGGGGTCATACCGCGTACCGCGCAGAGTTGTCATCTACGCGAGGGACGCGTGTCAATATCAGTATGGGCTGTGTAGAGGGTTGTGTTTCGCTTGACATGTACCTTCTTAAGTTCTTTTTCAGACGCGCAGCAACTCGCTGTTTGTATTGGACTTCCAGTCTATCTAGTGTAGGTGCTGACAACAGCCAGGCGAGCTGTCGACCACGGGTCAAAGGGACTGCAGGCTCTCTGGTGGTTGCGTAGCGCAATGACCGGTCAGAACCTCCACTCCAAGCTCCAATGTTCATCGAGAATGCTGTCAACGATCGGCTTTGTACCCATGTGCACACCCCTGGCACTACACGTCAATGACCTACCGCGGAGCTGCTACACCGATCCATAACCCCCACCCGCCGCAAACGGAAAAAGCATGTATGTATGCAGCAAGCGGAAAGGCAGGATTAGGGCGACCACTTGCCTGCTTCTCGTGTACTGGTAGTAGTCGGCATTCCTATGGCATGATGGCATACGATTGCGTACGAGTTGGGAAACATGTATTTTGTACAGTCACGTAATTTTAACAAAATGCTGTAGACAACAACCTGTTTCGGCCATAAAAAGGCTTTATCAGTACAGCTACGAGCTTTAACCTTTGAGGTGCCACTGAACGCGTGAAAATACGCAATTGCAGTTCACTCCACCATTTCCACCATAACTTACGTTCTGTTTGCTTGATTTTGACAATCTAGGGCTCTTTGAAACGCTCTTTCCGCTGCCAAGAGAATGAGGCCACGCTCAACTCCGTGGATGCTTTGTTTAAAGCCGATTTGTCAGCCGTGGCGCAAAGGTGACACCACAGACATTAAAAGACAACTCGTTGCTCTAGCGCAAGAGTGCTCAACCTACGAAAGGTAGCGAGCGATGCGTAATGCAGCAGCCTACCGAGAATGCTCAACAAGATGAAGTGAAAAAAGAAGGACCAAATGTTTACAAAGTATCCGTTGTTTGTGTCCAACACTAACAAATTTAAGCAGGATACCGGTGAGTTTGAACGTGCAACAATTAACACAACACTGACTGATGTGATAATGACATTCACCTACCTGATGCTTAGCAGCATCACGTCTAGAATGCGCAAACCAACAGCAACTTGGAAGGTTCTAAGCAGGTAATTAGTTATGAAATAACGGTAGAAAGGGGAAGGTGAGCGCATTCAAGACAAGGCATGCATTCTAGACGTCATGCCGCTAAGCATCAGGTTGTTGAATGTCAGTATCACATCAGTCAGTTTTGTGCTAATTGTTGCACGTTCTGACTCACCGGTATCTTGCTCGTATTTGTTAATGTTGGACACAAACAACGGATAACTTGTAAACATTTGGTCTTTCTTTTGTCACTTTAAAAAATACTTGGCTCTCAATCTGAGTCTTCTACCGGTGCAAGTAGTTATATCTGCACACCTGATGAGCCGTCAGCATCTGCAGACTTTACACGGCGAAAGGTAGATGTACATCGTGTGACACTACTTGTTACATGTACTGCCGTTTGTTAGTCCACCACAAGTAATTTAGTTCCATTCTACATGCACCGGTACTGCTGGGTAGTATAGTACGAAGAGATAGTGCCGTCCGGTCTGTCTCACTTCGTGTTCGCGTAACTTCCCCTCTTTTGCTATCTCCGATAACATGAGCCTGCCAAGAATTAGTTCAATATTGGGTGGTTGGTGTTCCGCGTTCTCGAAGTGAGCCGGGGCCGTCCTGTACCGTAGGCTTCGTCCTTCGTCATCACTTTGTCATAGCTAAAAAGTAACATTCTTAGTTCGCTGTGATGTTTGCTTGTTCTCGTCTTGAATGCCGACTCCCTGCACTCAGACACAGAGGTTGTAGGCGGTACTGTTCATGGCCAATAATGGCAAGATGACTGTCGTCTGCTTCGGTGTCTGCGTACAGGAGCCGAGTAAGTCACAACTGATCCTGTGTTCACGCCACCGAGTGTGAGGCATGGTCAGTCGCAGACGTCAGTTTTGGTGGACATCCACTTCATCCAGCTAAGGAGATGAAGCTGCTCGGTGCTCCTTGACCGCATCCAGCATAGAGCCATCCGCATCATCGGACCAGCCAGGTGCCCTGTTGCAAAGCTTGGTTGACCGGAGAACGGTGTATGCGCGTGGGTGTGCGTACCTTTACAAGATACAGTGTCTGGACGGTGCTCCACAAGTGCTCGCCATGGTTCCCCAAGGAAAAGCTGCTACACCCCCCGAACCATAGTCCAACAGCAACCGCGTCACAACCACCATCTAGGTTACGACCTGGGTTTGGGCAACTGATCACCTCTGAATCTCTGATCACACAATTTCTTTCCCTGTCTTATCAATTATCATCATAATTATCTCTGTTGTATCTTGTTTCTCTTATCTAATCTTCTTTCTCCGTCTACCTGGTCTACATTATGTAGTCTATTGTAGTTTGTAGACCATAGACCATAATTATTAAGCATCGTCTGATGCGAAGGATCCGCTTGTTTTCTTTTTCCATGCGCCCCCATTTTCTGGTGCTCTGGAGTCTGGTGGCATGCCGGCATGCTGATGATTTTAGACCAATGCAGCAATAGTCAGTTGGGTGCCTCCAGACTCACCAACATGGCTACCCTGTAGCACCCACCTCCCTACTGAAAGTCTACAAGTACAACACCGGTAACCTCGTAGATCTACGTGCACGGGTACCACGTACCGGGTCCGCATTGTACCAGGGAGCACCATCTCCATGGTCACGTCGATTGGGAGCATAGCGCATTCATTAGTTCCATTTGCATACCGACTGTCTACCATGGTCTACATATACTACATGACTCGATCATTTTCATGACATGACTCATGAGTGCTGGGCCAGGGAGCGAAGCTTCGAAGGAAAGGAAATCCCATCCTTTTCATTGCTTTTTGACGTGACCTTGCACTGGCGTAACGACTGTGTGGTGTGTTTTTATTCATTTCGCTTCTCTTCCTTGCATGTTTCTGTAATATTACTCGCTGTGCCTTCTGGAGAATCAGGGCAGGGAGAACTTCAGCAGTTCGGGGCACTCTATCGAGACAGTTCCATGCTGAGGGCAAGCATCTCCTATTTTTTCACAAAAGTGTAGATCTACGTGTAGAATTTGGAAACGAAGGCACTCCACGGTCATAAAAGGCTGGCCGGTGAAACGCGTGAGGGTAGTGTAGGCAGCTGGACTGCATGGATTACTCTGCCGGCCGTATCCGGTCAAATCGCTAAGGACTTGCCTCATGCCGGTAACTCTGAACCTGCCTGAACTTTGAGCGTGCTGAAGAGGGAGCCGAGTATGGACGGCAATCGCTTGTGTTGAGTTTCTCCTTGCCTTTCTCGAACCCTCAGCTGAGCTGCCTGCTGTATCTACAGTTTCTGAAGCCGTGAAGGGTTCGACAGTGGATCATCACTGTACGTGTACGTGATTATCAAGTGAGCAGGCGCATGCACAGACTCAGTACACAGACTCAGTGAATAGAGGCTGACCGGAACGTGTTGTCGAATACTTGTGCGGTTCCACTGTCCAGTGAGCGGTCTTGCCATCCACAATTGGCACAAAACTGGCCGTTAGCTATCATTCGGCCACCATGATGAGAGCAACGGGAATGTGAGTTGAGCTGAAAAGGATCTTCCCCAACATTTTTTTAATCTATGAAGTTTATAGGACTGTGCCCAACACTAATTTTTTCTTCCATTCGTCTTGATAGCCGTACATTGCACTGTTGAGCAACAAACATCAGAGCATGTAAATCTAAAGTAATAGGGCTTGAAAGTGATGACGTCGAAAACGGCCAGGGAGTACTAAGTTGACATCAGATTTCTATTTTGGATCCACAAAGGTGTGACTTTGCTATTGCCTCAGTATGTGGGTGCATAGCAACCCGCTCAAGTCGTATGCAGGGGTGACTTTTACTTCGCCACCAGTTGCAACCCCGCCCCCAGTAGCCAAATCAGTCAGTTTCACTGGTTACATCACCTTGCTGTGAGTAAGACGGGGCGAAATGTGCTTGGATCCATACAAAAACTGGATCCAAGTGGATCCAATTTTTGAATTTTTGAAATTGTTGCTAAGCTGTGACGTAGCACTTTCAAGCCCTATTCCAAACCTATGAAGCTTGGGTACAGCATCATTCCAGCAGGGAAGCACACCATGTCTATATTTGAATTTCTGATATGTCACTCTATCAGATCTTGGCATCTTGACTGGAAACACTGCACAATGGGCAACAGCGTTCCATCATTGTTCATGAGTGAATATATGATCTGCCGTTGATGCGGAACTGAGTTGTAGCCAAGCTTCACTGTATGCTACTGGTGAGGAGTGGGGGAAGGGGAGTTTTTGCACTTCCTCTTATTGTCTGCATGTTGTATAGTAGTGTAGTATCTATTCATACTTCTCTAGGGCAGTCCCCACAGACCTATGGTCTCCTTACGGTACACCCAAGCCAATCTAGGATTGCGATACGAAATTGACTTGGTGAAGCAGCAAGGCGAACCGATGCCGCATGTGGGCACGGTGTAACAGCAGCAGTGCCGTGGACAGACCTCAGTTGGCGTTGGGGAGGTCACGTTCTGGAGAAGGGTATACCTCTATGTTTGCAAAAGCCAGTAGCAGTTTGATGCGTTTCCAGGTTGCCACATGTTAACATATCGTTGTCGGAAACGAAATTCTGGGACGCTTGTGGGTCTGTCTCCCGGATCTTCCATTATGAATCGGGGACAAAATGACTCGTGTTCCACGGCCTCAGATTTTAAAGTGAAACCCAGAATGTATCCGTAGGGAGGCTTCCATGGATGGACGGTACTCTTCACAAAGCTATTGTGTTGTTATCCTCTTTATAAAACCTTTCTTGAAATTGTCTTCTCTCCTTCTTTTCTTTTTTTCTTCATGGGCTGGTGCACCATGGCAGTCGATGACCGGCTTACTACTTCAAAGTACAAAAGTGCATAGCACCGGACAATGGCAAGTGCAAAGACTATCTGCGAGTGCCTGGTAATCGCGCTGCTCGCCGGAGTTCACCTTGCAGGCGCGACACACTTTCGCGGCGGTCTCATATCCTGCCATCCTGTGCTGGACAACACTGACGGTGGCATGGACAGCTCTGGCAGTGTACACGTGAGCAGTTTAACCTCACTACACTACTACTAACGACACTATGCACAGCTCCTACACAGGTGTTCAATGTGCTGGGTCACGGTGATTCATTGTGCTTGGCCGCGGTCTTATAGATTTTCAAATGTGTGGTACTCGGTAACTTGCAAGTGGACTGGCTCTGCTCTTGTGAGCATTGAGCATTGTCTTGGGGCGGAGGACTTCCATCAGGCCTATATTGAGTGTATGCAATGTCGGCATACTAGTATTACCTGAACCCGATGTACATAGCTGAGTTGTGTTGGTGAATACTACGTACTCTCAAAGGCCATTGATTGCCTCTCTACATAATTATAGTCATGAGATAAACCCCTGCATACTCTTTTCTTATTCCACTACAGCTTGAATGCCAGTTTCGCATAGGGTGGCGTTTGGATTACTCTGCGGGATCAGTGTGCAACTTGACGTTACGGGCAAATCAGGAGCTGTTGAATGGACCGGGATCTAAGTTCAGGCTAAGGTGCTATTCCGGCTGTACAAGGCGTCCCACTGTTGACTATCTGAAGTTTTACTGCACGGAGTTCAGTGACTCGGAGCTCTGGACGCAGGGAGCCAATACATTTCGGTACACTCTCTCCGGCTCTAACCAGATTTTCACTGCTGCGTAAGTTTCCGGCTTTGCACGTGTAGATCTGATCTAGAAATGTGTTAGGCGGATCTCGAAGCAAGCAAGCAATTCAACACGTGAGCTCCTGGGCAGATTTTTCCTTTGCAAAACTGATATCATTGCATGCAATGGGCATGACCTATAATCGAGTGCAACTTGTAATCAGGAACAAACAGTAGCAGTTGGGAAGGCAGTGCGCTTAGTCAGGTTTCAGAAATATGCTTTACAGTGTACGTGTGTGTGTGTGTGTGTGTGTGTGTGTGTGTGTGTGTGTGTGTGTGTGTGTGTGTGTGCGTGTGCTTGTGTGTGTGTGTGTGTGTGTGTGTGTGTGTGTGTGCGTGTGCTTGTGTGTTTGTGTGTGTGTGTGTGTGTGTGTGCTTGTGTGTTTGTGTGTGTGTGTGTGCTTGTGTGTTTGTGAGTGCGCGTGCGCGTGCGCACGCGCGTTTATGTGTGCGTGTGTGTGTGTGTGTGTAGGTGGGTGGGTGGGTGGGTGGGTGGGTGGGTGGGTGTGTGCGTGTGTGTGTGTGTGTGTGTGTGTGTAGGTGGGTGGGTGGGTGTGTGTGTGTGTGTGACTCTACAGGAGTCAGTAAGAAATTATGTAGCTCTCATCGTTTGATTAGTTTTTGTTAGTTTTCAGTTCTCAGGGACGACTCTGGGCTTCCAGGGTCGTCCCTGGGACAGTTCCCAGTAGAAGTCCACAGCGGAAAGTCAACAGAGCAGATTACAGGACGAACTTCGGGTGTCGTCACTCTGACTCCGTTTTCCGCTGTTGGACCCATCGCGAGGCCTTGCAAGCCCACGAATGGAGCCATCTACCGCAAGCAGTAGGAGACGAAAGGAGTTTACCCTGAGCGATGGGACGTGGAATGTCCGCTCGTTGCTGGAAAGTGAAGGACCCGTCCAAACAGCATCCACTCGTCATCAAGTTGCTGACGACAAGAAAATTTATCGGATAATTCAAATTTTCAAACGTCTTGGATTGGAAATAGTTTGTCTTCAAGAGACCTACTGGCTGGATAAGAACGTCTACAACATCGAGGGAGCAGTGCTAATTTCGTCTGGAAGACCTTCACCTGGCGAGGGAGAGTCGTGTCGAAGGGGTGAAGGTGTTGCGATTCTGTTGCTGGGAAATGCAGCTCGCGCGTGGCGTGACGGCGGTTGTCAATACGACGCCCGCAGCTCTCGGATTGTGTCAGCGCGATTGAAGTTTGATATTCATGGGTGTTCACCGGTATGGTATACTGTCATCTCCGCATATGCTCCGACGTTCGCCAGCAAGCGAATTGCCAAGGAACAGTTCTTTGCGGACTTGCAAGCGACTTTGCCACGGATGGGCACAGAAAGGTTTATTCTGTTGGGTGACTTCAACGCCAGAGTTGGATCCCGTACGCATGCTGACGCTGATGAGCGGTCACGTGTACGGGGCCCACATGGAGTGGGTGAGATGAACTCTGCAGGACGTGAGCTGTTGGATTTTCTTGCAACTATTCAGGCGATGGTGTGTAACACATGGTTCTGCAAGACAGAGGATAGGAAGTGGACCTGGCAACATCCAAGGTCAAAGAGATTTCATTGTATTGATTTTGTCATCACGTCACAAGCTGACTACCACCAATGTATTGATGCTCAAGTTATAAGAAGTGCGGAATGTAAGAGCGATCACAACCTGGTGGCTGCGTGTTTTGTAGTAGGCCGTCTGCAGCGCCGCTCGCGTTGTGTGCAAACGAAGAAATGTAAGCGGTTGATGTTGCACGTTTGAAGGATGTCCACAGCACTGACTCATCTGGAAACATCACACGAGTTGCTGATGTCTATCGTGAATGCCTCACAAACAGTCTGCAACAGCCGAATGAACATACCACCGTTGAATGCAAATGGTCGAGGTTGCGCACTGCGGTCACCGAGTCTGCAGAGGAGACCCTCGGTTTTCAGAAACGTCGTCAACCAGATTGGTTTATTTACTGAGAGCAAAGATACCCTCGAACCCTTGTTGAATGAAAGGAATCAGCGATATCAAGAATGGATTTCAAGTGGCAGGTCTGATGACACGTGGAACAGGTTCAAGGCTGCCAGGAGTAAGGCAAGAGCTGCTGTCCGCTCTGCCAAGAACTCTTGGTTCACCAACAAAGCCAAATCTCTTGATGGTGCACGGTTCAGTTCCTCACGGGCGTAGGCATGTGTTGAGGATATGCAGGCTGCCAAGCAGGGATTACGCTCTGTGTCTACTACCGCTATTAGGGATGCAAATGGCAACATCTGCAAATCTGTGGAGGAACAAGGTGGACGATGGTACCAACATTTCGATGGCGTACTCAACATCCCTAGCACACATAGCCAGCAATCGCATGTCATCTCGTACATTGAAAATCAACATAATTTTGCGAATCGACCTTTTTTTCAGGATCACTTTTCAACGAGGACGAAGCAAAGTCGGCCGAACGAAGCCTAGAGGAAGAAAATCACCCTCTCCACTTCACCATCATGATACTGACATAGATACGAGATGAAACAACTAAAAAATTCACAAGAAAACTGTACGACCATCATCGCGCTGACTTTGGTCTGACTTTGGTCTGAGAATTTCTACCACGATCAAAAATGTACGAGGAGCACTCAAAAATCAGCCACAGACGTACCTTTATCGCTCTCTACTCCTTTTTCAAGGCACAAAAGTCGACTCTCCACTTTCAAACCAGGAACCAGACAGACCAGTGGTCCTTTTCAGCTGCTCCACGAGCGCAGGAAATGTTCACCAAGGGGCGCAGAGCAGCATCCATTCCAGAAAAATAGCTAAAATACGAGTGAGACTGCATGCCTGAGTACATGAGTACATGTATGAGTACATGCAGAAAATAGTCAATTTCAGCGTTTCTGCTCCAAACAGCAACTAGCTTCGACTAGAAACAAAGATTACACCAAAGGATCAAACAACAACCATTTTCTGCAGTTTTTTTGCAGCTGGCTTCCTTGTGCTTGGCCCAGCACGCCAAAAATCACACCTCGGAGGAGTACAAAAATTACAACTCTCAGATGTCCTTGATTGCTGGCCATGATTTGATCCATGTGCCATTGACAAAATAGACCAGCAGCCTATCAACCAGAACATCGCTGGCAAGCCGGATGCAGCAGAGGTGGCGCGAGCTATTCGACAACTCAGCAACGGCAAGGCCGCTGGCGCCTCAGCTATCCTGCCTGAGTTGGTCAAAGCGGGTGGTGAGAGTTTCATTGAGGCACTGTTGGATCTGTTGCACCATGTCTGGGATGACGAGGCTGTTCCGCAGGAATGGGTAGACTGCAATCTTGTGCCAATCCCAAAGCCAGTAGGTAACCTCTCATTGTGTGATAATTGGCGTGGCATATCACTCCTGGATGTTGTTGGGAAAGTTGTTGCTCGAGTACTTCAGTCCAGATTACAGATTATTGCGGAGATTATTCTACCCGATTCCCAGTGCGGCTTTCGTAAGGGTCGATCTTGCACAGACATGGTGTTTGCAGTTCGCCAAATCCTGGAGAAGTTGTACGAACATCGCTGCCCGGGATACATTGTCTTTGTTGATTTACGTAAGGCGTACGACTCAGTAAACCGTGAATGCATGTGGCTGGTTCTCGCGAAGGCAGGGGTCCCTAGTAACATCGTAAACATCATCAAGTCGTTTCACACCTTCATGTCCGCTACTCTCTCCATCGGGTCAACACCCATCCAACCCATTGCAGTGAAGAGTGGTTTGCGGCAGGGCTGTTGTATGGCACCAGTCTTATTCAACATATTCATGTGGGCTGTTTTCCAGAGATGGTCCAGAGTGGTCGAGCATGTGCCTGGTATCGGCGTCCCGTTGGCATTCAATCCTGGCTCGCTTTATTTCAAGAGAAAGCGTACTGACGATCAGACTACCATCAACGACTGCCAGTTCGCTGACGACTCTGCACTGTTTGCCACTACCCGTACTGCTGCTGCTCTTGCTCTGGATATGTTCATCGATGTCTCGTCTGCATTTGGTCTGACCGTCAATCTGGACAAGTCCAAATTATGGCGGTTGGCTATGGTATCACGGATGGTGACCGACTTCCTCTTCCTGTGAAGAATGGCACATTGGAATGTGTGCGTGAGTTCCGATACCTGGGTGCTGTTATCCATGATTCTGGCCGATCTCACAAAGATGTATCGACCCGTGTTTCATCTGCCTCCCGTGCTTTTGGAGCGCTCCGTCATGCTGTCTTCAATGACCACAATCGCTCTCTGCGCACCAAGCGTCTGGTTTTCGAGGCCTGTGTTCTGTCCTTACTGCTCTATTGTGCGGAGACGTGGGTACCGCTGCAAAGTGATGTGCAACGGATCACGACCTTCTACTACCGGTCGCTTCTTTCCATCATGAGTGTTGCACAGCGGGATGTGTGGGACTTGAAGATAGCCAAGGACACCATTCTGAAAACATGGAATGCAGCAAACCCACTGGATATCCCCGACCGCCTCATGCAGAGAAGACTGGAATGGCTTGGGCACGTGGTACGCATGCCTGAGGGGCGGATGCCGCGGATGTTGTTGTTTGGCACATTGCTGCCACCACGCCCAGCGTGTGGCCCGCGGAAACGATGGCGAGACGCAATTAGGGTCGACCTGCGACGAATAAACATCGCCGACGAGTCATGGTTTGACACAGCGCAGGAACGATCTGAGTGGCGGCAAGCTTATCGAGCAATACAACCAGCTCAGAAACCGGCTCGGGAGATAGTCTGCGAGGTGTGCCGGCGTGCATTTGCTCGGCAGCAAGATATCGCCCGCCACAAGTGCATCATGGAACGACGTAAACCAGTCCAGCAGCAAGCCAACAGCCGCCAGTGCTCCCAGTGTCACCGATGGTTTCGGAGTGCGGGTGGCATTGCAGTCCATCGCTGTGTCCAGTCCAATTCTGCCCCGAATGTTGCCGATGCCACAAGCTCTTCACCTGTACGCCTATGTATTCGAAAGCGTGCTGTACCGCTCACTGTCCCATTTGTGAACGCTGCTGTAAGTCGATCCGGGGCTTTGCTATCCACAACTGCAACCGATCCACCAGGCGCCCAACTGCTGATGAAAGGGACAAGTTCCAATTGCAATGTCAGAATTGCCAGAGGCGTTTCAAAAGGCGAAACGACTTATCCCGTCACCAACGCTCATGTCTCCTCTCGTCTCCGTCTCGCTCAACGAGAAACACGTGACCTACATTGCAGTGTATACCAGGACCAGGACCAGGTGTGTGTGTGTGTGTGTGTGTGTGTGTGTGTGTGTGTGTGTGTGTGTGTGTGTGTGTGTGTGTGTGTACAGGGTGTGTGTGTGTGTGTGTGTGTGTGTGTACAGGGTGTGTGTGTGTGTGTGTGTGTGCGTGCATACATGTGTGGGCGCTATGGGATAACACACAGGCCACCGGAGGCAGCAGCCTTGCTACCAGCTACACAACAGCTTGACGATTTGATTCACGGTATTAACGTGTACAAGTATTACGCGAATGGTGGGTGGGCGTGCAATGTAGATCTGCTTTCTGCGTTTCACTCCCACAGCCTGCTGTTGCAAGCGTATTAACACCGTGGACAATGCGGACGTATGCGACGAGTTTGGTGCGTGCTCGTGCAAAGAGGGAGCGACTGGCAGCAAGTGTGGGGCTTGCCTAGAAGGCTACAATCTGAACCCACAAACTGGATGTGAACGTAAGTAAGACCGTAGGGAATATGAGTTTAGTGTTGAGTGCTAACTGCATGCTCTGGGTGGGGTCCAGCTCATCAAAAGCAATGCGACTCAAGGCATAGAGAGGGTACCGGTTGCAGAATAACAACTTAGAGTTGGTCTTTGCATAGAGGTTATGCGATTACACCATCAGTTGAGATGCTTTGGCAAGGCCGTGGCACAGCGTCGCGCAAGCTCGAGCAAAACCAAGGACACCGCTGGCTCAAGCTGTATACACAGCGCCCACATGCGGTCATGCTGTATTCGCAGCGCCCATAAGTAGTTCTGCTGACTCACCAGTCACCACCATGACCGTGACCATTCGCATAACATCCGTTATTTAATGTGACATTGGTTTAATACCAGTGAAAAAGAGATGATACCACGAACATACCCAATCATCCGAAATATTCCAGCATAGTTTGCGACACGGCTCTTGGTCATTGAATCATGCAGTGAAGAGAAGCAGCTGTTTGGAGTGGAGGGTGCAGTGATTATCAATATCGTCAACGGTGTAGTGTCTTCCCCGTGGTGCTGATGGTGTGCGCAAGCTTATTGATCTGCTAGTGATGTGCTGCAGGTGGTGGTGCTCATGTTCCTACTGAAGTACCGTAAAAGTCCGTAAATAAGTACGTATTTACTTTCGAATTTAGTGACCAAACTCGTACTAACTTTCGGGCGGGTACTGACTTTCGGACCTGACTTGTGTGTAGCGGAGAAGTCATTTTCATGTCGATGGGCGTGCTACGTGCTGCATGTGCGCACCGTACCGGTACTTATTTCGGGCAGTATGTTTATCGGGCTTGACTTGACTTCAACAGACAGAGCCAAAAGAATGAAGGGGATATTTCTTTCGGGCAGGTACTTATTTACGGACTTTACTGTAGGTTTCCAGTAAAACCTCAGTTGCCTGTTGGGACTCCCCCCTAGTAAAACGGCAGTCCCATCCCTGAAACATGCTAGCAGTCATTGAAAGGCCTTATTTTTCGAAAGAATTATTGCAGCTACTGCATCCTGAAAATGATGTACTGTTGTAGTGGAGTCAATTTCCTTTCCTAAAGGAACGTTAGTCGAGCTACAAACAATCCTCTAATCTCTGCCACGCAATTCTTTCAATGTCTTTTCTGCAGCCATTGTAATCGAGCAACAAACAACGCCGACAGAGACACCGTATTACATACCCATAGTCATAGCACTTGTGCTGCTCCTGGTGCTGGCTATAGTGATCATTTTCTTGCAAGATCGGAAGAACAGACGCAGAAAGGCCATGATGGTCTCGCCGGATGATGACCTGCACAGCGAAACCTCATCCGAGGATTTGAGCATGCGAGAGCAGCTAATCGCCCGGGAGAGCAGCCACACGCCGTCAGACAATGGAACTGTTTCAGATTCACACCCGGGAGGCGTCAATGCTTGGCGTCGACAATGGCGGTGCAGCAGGTGGTTCCCCTGCTGCAGTGCCAGCGCGACCTGACACACCGCCACCGAAACCCAAGAATATGATTGACACGTTCAAATCGCCACCTTCTGCCACCAGCTCGTCTGCAAGTGTTCACTCACTCTCCGGCGGCAGACGTCCTGGCGTGGTTCACGCTAAGAGCAACACTCCGCAACAAGTATCCAACAATTCTGCGACTCGGTCTGACAGTTCAAGTGCTCTGTTCAGCCGGCGGACTACGCGATCTCATCTAGATGATCAGAACGTCGTGAACAACACCAGCTGATGGTGTGCATTGTCCAACTAGCCCTGTTGTGGATGCAAGGACAGCACAACAGCAGAGTAGCCCTCAGCCAGGCGATGTTCTGCCGTATAGCCCTCAGCCAAATGATCTTTTGCCATACAGCCCTCAGCCAGGTGATGTTTTGCCATACAACCCTCAGCCAGGCGATGATCTGCAGTATAGCCCTCAGCCAGGCGATGCTCTTCTGACCATGCCGCTGCCAGGTGGTGTAGATGACATGTTAGATCATGCTGCATCACCCCGTCAGGAGGTCCACAGCCCGCATGCTGCAAGTGCTGCTGAAGCAGCTGCAGAGTTTCCGGACGTGCCGAGGCGGAAAAAGAGCTCATTGCCCCCTATCCGCCGAAGACCGCGAGCGTCCCGGGGTCAGCAAAGCAGTGACATGGAGACGCCTCTACTGTAGGGGACCTCTGGAAACTGACATTGCACTCTATATAACTGTTACATGTGGTTCATTAAAGGTACGTCGCCGGTACACACCATGCCTGAAGTTTGGAGTGACTTTCCTGGTCATATATCTGCCAGAGTATGTGTGCTGTACATACCCCCATATGCAGGACACACGGCTGCATGACTTTTCTGGCAAGTGCATGCCATGAGAATGCGAGGCGTGCGGAGTACGATATGCGTCCAGAGTTTTCGTTTGCCGCCCACAGCCACAGCTAGCATTCGGACTTCATTGCTCGGGATCGGTGCCGACGAGAAGCCTTCAACGGTGCTCAACTGCCCAGGCCCTTGTGGCTCGGAGTATCTTGGACATGCAAATGTGCAGTGCACATTCCACTCCTTCAGAACACCATTATGGCTGAGTGCTCTAAAGAGGTGGGCTGGCGATGCATGAACAGAACACCATACGTGAACACAATCTCTGGCTGAACACTCAAAGCCATACCAAGTGCGTCATGCTTCCCGACTAACTTCATGATCGGGATTAATACTTGTAGCATGCATGGAGACGTCACAGGCGCGAGTGACGATACCGATGTAGGTTTCGCTCCAGTGCTGCCCGTTCAAGTCACCCTGAAAGGCAGAGCTGATGTATGCCCGCTATTATAATTATTACATCCCTGATCTAGCTGACCATCCCGCAGGTCACGGTGGCGGCCATGATTGTGAGAACTTCTGACAGCATGTGGCGGAGAACACGAATCACATCACATAAAACTTTTAAAAGAACTCTGTGGTCGAAGCACACATCGTTGAGACTCCATAGTCTCATGCAATGTCCCTTGATGCTAGAACACTCTGTTGGACACCTTTTTGATGACGAATAACTTATGGTCAACTGCTAGTTTCTAATAGCCCTTTCACAACTCAAATAATTTATGTATAGGTCTATACGGCTTGCCAATTATCAGGTATTTTTGTTCCACATGACCGTACTTCCATGAAAGTATTTATTTCACGACGTACCAATCTCTCTAGACTGTCTGCCAATAAAGGTTAGCGATAAAATAAAGAATTGTTAGTATAAAAATAAACCACTGGGCTGCCACTATAATAATAATAATAATAATAGTAATTCAACATGCAATCATTAACCAGCAGCTTGGTCAACAAAGCAGTGCTAGAGTACTCGAAAACTTGACTAAATTCCTAAACTTTTAAATAGTCCGCTCGACAAATTTGTACTTGCCTTGGAAGTAGAATAGGAAAATGAATACTAGATCTGGACCCCAAAGAACATCCAGGAAATGAATTATCATCAAGTCGAAAGCCTCAAGTTTTGTGAAGTGTTATTGTTGCACAGGCGGCAACTGCATTGCTAGCAAGCAGCCTCACCGTTGGTGGCACCAGAATTTCGACCGAAACCTAGGCTAGATTGTTGTTCGCATGGTGCATGCCAAGATTTATATGAACCTGTACGAGAGTGACGTTCGCAAGGCAGCAGAGTTTACTAGAAGTACCAAGCTTGACCTCGGACATACATGTAAGCATTCGGACTGCAAAACAGGAGCCGGTTGGAATGAACTCCAAGTGCAGGTCAGCCATCTTGAAATCTGCTGGCGGACATATCTCACCGAACTGGGCCTAGGCGAACATTGCAATAGGCACCAATAATGTGTAGGCAGCCCAGCAGTGCCATAAGCAACCCACCGACACGCACACATGCGAGAGAGCGTGCGAACAGGTAACATAGCCATCAAATTTGAACAACGGCACGCCAATGATAATTATCGCGATTCCACCATAAACAATATGCTCGATTCCAGGCACCATCTGTAAAGAAGAGAAACAAGGTGGTAAGGTAGAATGAGCTGATGAGAGCAAAGGAGAGGCCAGAGTACATTGTTTTCAACATGCAATATCCACACAAGCCAAAGATTTCAAGTATTTTAGTTTCACCGGTCAGACCAAACGCTGCAGAACTAGTAGTTACCATACAGCTGAAATGCGCAATATATCCTTGAAAAAACAGATTATAGACCGATCGGTCTTACAATGGGGCGTGTAGAGAGTTTTGCAAAACAATAGCTCTTAGAAATATTTGTTTCTATAAAAGCTGCGAAATTGAGGTGAAAATTCTCACGAAAAAATGTTCCGTAGATGCTGACGAAAACACAATGCTGCCAATAACCGTCATCACACTACGTTCTCTGACTCCCGTTCACGTCTACATCTACGGTAAAAATCCGAAACGGGTGGTCGTGTCATCAAGCAGGCACAGTTCTTTACCCGTACACGCGGTCACGTTTTTGGAGAGGTTTGAAGATTCACGCGCAAGTACGAGGTCGCATGGAAAAAGACTGGGGTCTCTCTCTCTCTCCCTACCACGTCTACGTTTCCCGTTTCCTTAACTCCCGCTTTCACTCCGTACATAGATCATCATAACAACCGACCAAAAACTCCTTACATGGACGTCGACGCAGCCCTTTGTACCGTGGTGTGATGACAGCAGGGCGCGCTCACCTGCTCACCCTGCGACCATGAGCACGCGTCCATGCGTCAGCAAAACGCAGAAACGTGGGAGTCGTGCTCACACTAGGCCTCGTACACGCGTAGACGTGAAGTTGGCACACAAACTTTACGAATTGCAGTTCGTATCCAAAAGAGTTCGTGCGTTTCCTAATAAAGTTGTGGCCCATTTTGGATGTAATTTTTCGCATGTTGCATGTTGGAGGAAGTGCCATTCTTCTTGAAGTCGACGAAAATAATTCATACAATCAGATAGGTTTGGACTCTTGAGGGACTGCCGCTGACATCCAAGCGCTTTCGCTTTCCTGACCTCGTGGTCAGAGCAAGTGCCAGTGCAGTGGAAATTCCGGTAGTGGTTTCCTTCGTCTGTTGCCGAGATGAGAACTGTATTTTCCGATGATATGTAACTGAACTGTTTGGTTGAGTTGGGTAACTCCGCTCTTCTTCCTCGCTCACCGGAGGAATTTCTAGTCTCCTCGCGCAACTGGGGAGCAGATTTCATTGGACATAAATGACGGGACGATGCGACGGGAATCAATGGTACGAGCTGATGAACGAACGCTTTTCGGAGGAAAAGAAACATTTGCTGTCGGAACCTTCAATGTGCGGGGCCTCACGTCGGCCGTCAAGAGGAACTCCTTGTGTCGAGACCTCTCTTTCTACGGCATAGACGTCTGTATCCCTCAAGAGACTAAGTTACCTGCAGGGCTTGACGAGCAGCGAAACGGCTATCGAATTATTTGTTTGCAGTCGGACAGTCGACATTATGGTCTAGGATTTGCGATAAACGCCAAGCTCGTGAACAAGGTCAAACGCACATGGAGAGTGTCAGACAGAGTTTCAGTACTCACATTATCGGCGGGCCAGCATTCTGACTTTGCCTTCATCAACGTTTATGCACCGACCTCAACAAGGTGTGCCAGTGATGCGGATGAACTCGACGACTTCTACTCCGCGCTGTCGACAGCTTACAACGAAGTTCGTCGTGGCGCTGTCGTTCTGGTTGCTGGCGACTTCAATGCTAAGGCAGGCGTGCGTCTAGGGAAGCATGAAAGCAGCATTGGCGTGCATGGTCGTGGCAGGCGGAATATTGCTGGTCAGAGCCTGATGGATTTTTGTGAAATCAACAACCTGTTTCTCACCAATACTGCATTCCAGCATTCGGCTCGTCACAAGACAACCTGGACGGGTTGGCGGAGGGATCAGCAGACGGGTGATACTGTCCCGATTTACAACCAAATCGATTACATTGCATGTCATCAAAACCGGAAACGCCTGCTGACGGACTCCCGCAGCTATGGAGGATGCGAAACATCAACAGACCATCGCCTGGTGGTGGCGAGGTTCCTCCTCAATCGGATGTATGGAATATTCGGGCATCATAGGTCAGACGAGCAAACCTCCCTGAAGCCAGTTCGATACAACACAAGTGATCTGCCGACAAGCCCACGGATCCGGGAGAAATACGTTGATACAATCGTCGCAGAGTTGGCAGATGGTGGTTCTGCTGTGGATACGGAGGACGGGGGACCGGCATTGCTGTGGCAGAAAACAGCATCGGCGATAAAGAATGCTGCAGAGAAATCGCTAGGTCTAGAGGCCCGGACAAAGCGTGGTGTGAAGGACAGCCCTGAACTGCGCCGACTGTCTCAGGCTCAAAAAGAACTAAAATTACGTATCGAAAATATCACCAACACCGGTACTCGGGCAGGCCTGAAGAAGGAACGCAACCGCATTCTTCACAGCATCAGAAGAACAGCGCTGAAGGAAGCAGAATTACGGCTGGACGAAAAGGCAAAGGAGGTGGAGAAGTTGCGGGACGGTGCTCGAATGTTCAAAGCTGTTCAGGTAATGCGGAGACGTGGAGCTGTGAAGCCTACAGTTGCTGACAACACCGGAAAAATCATTGTAAACGAGAAGGAAGCAGCTGAGGCAATTGGAAGCCATTTCTCAAGTCAGTTCAGCTCACCAAGCGCCACAGACATCTCACCGTTCCAGGGACAGCCACGTCCTCTGCAAACTTCCATTACATCTTCAGAGATTGCAGGCTGTCTCGGGAAACTGAACAATGGACGTGCCGCAGGAGACGACAGTATCCCCACAGAACTGATGAAGTATGCAAGTGATGCTTTGGCTCCTGTGTTGACCAGCATTTTCAACGGCATGTTTGAGCAACACGAGGTGGTTGATATAGGCAGTGGCAGTCTGATCCCACTTCAGAAACCCAACAAGCCGCTCGGACCACCATCAAATTTACGTCCGATAGTTCTTCTCAACACGCTGCGGAAGACCCTGTCACTCCTCACTTTAGCTCGAGTCAGACCCAAGGTTGACCAGTACCTAGCCCAGACGCACAGCGGCTTCCGCCCTGGCCGATCCACCGCGGATGTGGTATGGGCGCATCGATGGCTTGTGGCAAAGACCCAGCGCTACCACAGCACCGTTCACCTGTTGGGCATTGATCTGTCGAAGGCTTTTGACACGATCAAGCGAGACACCTTGCTGACTGTTCTGGAGGCGTTTCTGAGTGACGATGACGTTCGCTTGATCAGGGTCTTGATCTCTAACACCAGACTTCGTGTTCAGCTTGGGAGGTGCCAGTCGGAATCATTTGCTACAACGAAGGGGACGCCACAGGGGGATTGCCTTTCCCCGTTCTCTTCACGATTTACCTGGAGGCTGCACTCCGACAACTAAGGCAAGAGGTGCCAGCAAGACCTCTCAGCGACAACGGTCTGCCGCTCGAACTTGTATATGCGGATGATGCAGACTTTGTCAGCACCTCAAAGTCCTGGCTGGCGGACGTGGAGGCGACTGCCAGCACGGTGCTACCACAGTGGTCCCTGATCATGAACCGGGACAAAACTGAGTATACGGACATCTTCAGAAGTGCGGACAGGATCGATGAAGAGTGGAGGACAACGCGCAAGCTGGGTTCGCTGCAGGGCGACGAAGAGGATATTATGCGACGAAAACAGCTGGCGACTGCAGCATTTCAGTCCCTATGGAGCCTCTGGAAGAGGCATCAGCACATCAGCGAGAAGTTGCGTCTGCGGCTGTACAGCACTTTTATTGTTCCAGTACTGACGTACAACTCAGGTACGTGGGGGGGGGGGGGGGGTCAGTGTGACC